TTCCTCCTTCTCTCAACGTCATCCTCCTTCCTCTTCCTCTCTCTACTCCCCTGTTCTCTCCTCCTCTCTCCACTCTGTCTACTCACTCGTCCCCCTCCGACACCTCATACTCCTGGATGAGGTCGGGACAGTTGAGGTTCTCTACTGGTTCCCATGAAGCAGCTTCCTCTGAGTACCCTCTCCACAACACCTTGTACTCCGTAGTCCCATTGTGTGAACGCTTGTCGATGAGTGCTTCGACTTCGAAGTCGAGGTCCTCATCTGGAAGTGATGGTATGGTGGGCTGTTCAGCACGTTGAGGAAGAGAACTTGTTCTTGCTGGCTCGAGCATGGAGACATGGAACACATCATGCACCCTAAGGTTTGCTGGCAATGTGATTCGATAAGCTCGGCGTCCTAACCCGTTCCTGAACTGGGTAGGGTCCTGCAAACCGGGTGTCTAACTTGGGTGTGGGTCTCCTTGTCTTCCAGTTTCGTCGGTTGATATAGACCATATCACCCACCTTAAACTCGATGTCCTTGTGCTTCCTGTTATACTGGTTTACTGATCTACGTTGTGCCTCTCTGATCTGCTCCTGGAGGTACTTGCAACGCTCCTTTCCATCCATGAGGTACTCGAAGCGACCTGGATCATTGACTCCTAGTCGTTGAGGGATGTCAGGATGAGCTTTGGGGTTCCATCCATAGCATGCAAAGAATGGTGAGACACCAATGCTGTTGTGGACCGTGTTGTTGTATACAAAGGCTGCAGTGTCCAGCAGGTTGGCCCAGTCATTCTGCTCATAGTTGCAGTACATCCTGAGATATTGCTCTATGACCTGATTGACTCTCTCTGTCTGACCATCAGTTTGAGGATGGTAGGCCGTGCTAAGTGAGTGCTTCACACCCATTTGCTCTGCAAATGCCTTCCATGCTCCTGATATGAACTGCCTGCCTCGGTCCGAGACCATGTGATCTGGATATCCGAAGAGTCTAACCATGTGTCCATATAGCAATACTGCAGTCTGTTTGGCTGTGACTGTCTTATGGGTTGGAGCTAGTATGGCAAACTTGGTTAACCTGTCGACGATGACTAGGATAGAGTCATAGGTCTTGGAGTCATACTTCTTTGATGGTGGTAGTCCTTCAATGAAGTCGAGGGATATGGAGCCCCAGGGCCTGTCTGGTGTTGCTAGTGGCTGTAGCAAACCATATGGATGATGATGAGGAGCTTTGTACCTAGCACATACAGGGCAACTTGCTACATAGTCTGCAATCCAAGCTGTCATGTTTGGCCACCAGTAATGTCGTTGAGCTGCCTTGATGGTAGCATCTCTTCCTACATGTCCAGCAGTAATACCATCATGGCATTGGGTCATCACCATGAATCGCAGATGCTCTACAGAGAGAGACTGTCCATCTACCTCTTTGGCACTCCTTGAGTGTCGGTTGTTGGTCCTCCCTGGCATGAATCACTTTGGGATAACCAACCTTCCTCCACTGTACCATAGGTTGTCCCTGACCTCGAAGGGCTTCGTCCTATGTATCTCCTGTAGCTCTTGGTCTAAGGGCTGGAAGATCTTGACCAGGTCTCTGAGACCTTTTGATGCTATGGACTCCATCGAGATCATGGGGCCACTAGGAGTGAGTCATGGTCTGCTGTCTCCTTGAACACTCAAGGAGGCAGTAGTTGCCTCACATTGTGATCCTGCTCTTCACCAGCTGGTTGCATGTCTGTCCTTCTGGTGAGAGCATCGGGTTCACCACCTTTGTCTCCTGGTCGATACTGCAATATGAAGTCGAAGTCTGCTAGTAGTATTGCCCATCGAGCTTGTCGACCTGTGATGCGTCTCTGTGACTTGAAGTACTTGAGGGCTTCATGGTCAGTGAGGATGACCAGTTGGTTCGGTAGTCCAGCTAGCATGTGTCGCCACTGAGTGAGGCAGGCGACCACAGCTAGGAGCTCCTTATCATGGATCTCATAGTTCTTCTCGGCAGAAGACATCTTCCTAGAGTAGAAGGCCACTGGATGCCATCGTCCTTCATGCTCCTGCTTGAGTACTCCTGCTATAGCAAAGTCACTTGCATCAGTCTCCAACCTTGTTGGAAGGTGGTAGTCGAAGTGCTGAAGCACTCCTGCTGATGTGAAGGCCTGGATGAGCTTGTGGAAGGCCTGTTGGGCCTCCTCTGGTAGCTCGAACTTCTTGAACCGTTCTATAGGCTTTACCAGTGCTGTCAAGGGCTTGGCTATGCGAGCAAAGTGGGCTATGAACCTTCGATAGAAGTTGGCAAAACCCAGGAACCTCTGGATGTCATGGATTGACTCTGGCATTGGCCACTCCTTGACAGTGCGCACCTTTTCTGGGTCCATCTCTATGCCCGTTGGCTTGATGATGTACCCCAGGAACTCAACTGTCTTGGTGTGGAACTCACACTTAGACAGCTTAGCAAAGAGCCTGTTGCTCCTTAAGCAAGCGAGGACCTCAGTGACATGCTTCACATGTGCTTCTTCAGTGTCACTGAAGATCAGGAAGTCATCTAGGTATACTACCACATATATCCCAATGATGTCTTGGAAGATGTCATTGATGAATGACTGGAAGTGAGCCGGAGCATTGGCTAGGCCAAAGGGCATCACTAGGTACTCATAGAGTCCCAACTGAGTGCCAAAAGCTGTCTTCCATTCATCTCCTTTAGCAATCCGGATGAGGTTGTATGCTGCTCTAAGGTCTAGCTTGGTATAGATCCTTGCCTTCCTGAGTAAGAACAGCTGCTCCTCGATGAGGGGCAATGGTGCCCTGTTCTTGACAGTGATCTCGTTGAGACCTCTGTAGTCCACACAGAGTCTGAGACCTCCATCCTTCTTTGGTACGAAGAGCACTGGTGATCGTGCCGGGCTCTTCGATGGTCTTATGAACCCCTTCTCGAGGTTCTCATCCAAGTATCTCCTCAACTCGGACATCTCCTTGGGTCCCTTAAGGTATAGGGGCCCTTGAGGTGGCTTCCCTCCTTCTATCAACTCGAGGTGGAGATCATGCTCGGTATGATGGGGCAGCTTGTCTGCTTCCACCTCATCAAACACATCTCGCAGGTGTTGGTATGGCTTTGGTATGTCTGCAGCCGTCACCACCTTATCTACCTCCACCTCCATCTCGACTCCTTTGTCTGCGCCTGTAGGTACAAAACCAAAGGCTGGGAGTGATGATGGTGGCTCCTCTAACAGCATGAACCCTATGGGTCCATCTTCCAGAGCTGCTCGTAGTATGCGCTCTGCTGAGACAAACTTGTTACCATGAAGGGTTGGTCTCCTCATGGTTAGGTCCCCTGCTCTTGCTGCTTCAGGGGGTCTCCTAGGGAGTCGGTCCTGCTCCTGAGTCTTGAACTCCAGCTGGCCCGTATCCCATTGTATGGTGGGTTTGAGCCTCCGTAGCTCAGTGAACCCCAGGATGAGGTCATAGTCCGCAGTGTCGGCCACTGAAGCTTCGACCACACCCAGATTGTGTGTACCAATAGATACCTGCATGCTCGCAGAACTATTGATGGAGAGTTGGTGCCCGGTGACACCATGGATCGATCTTGTTTTTATGGGTTTTGTGGGTATTTGGTACTTACTAATGAAAGAATCTGAGACTATGGACAAACTAGCACCGGTATCAGCTAGTATCCGAGCAGGATGGTCTTGAACCATTCCAGAGAGCTCCAGTACTGCTTTGCCTCCACTGGTAGAGAAACATACTTGACAATCTTGATATATACAGAGTGATGGCGAGGAGGTTTGTAGAGCAATGCATGCCATCAGTGCATCACCCCACTGACGTTTCCCTCGTCGTCATCATCATTGTGCTCCTCCTCGTGATCGGGGTCCATGGGTTGCTGGTATGAGCTGAGGTCCATGGCCTCGGGGTCACCCGTCTCAGTGCTGCCTGTGTGGCCATCTCCTGAGTCGGTGGCCTCCTCGAAGGGGTCTGCTGTGGTGACCATAACCTTTGGTCCCATGGGTCGAGAGCTAAGAGGGTCTACCCTCCTGCTGGGGCAGTCTCTGCCCAATGGCCGATACCCTTGCATACATGACAGGTGTTGATACCTGATGGAGCAGGGCTTCCTTGCTTCGAGGGTTGGGTGGGATGATGAGGAAGGGGTCGGTTTAGGTTTTGTATAGTTGCTTGTGTAGTTGCTTGTGATGGTGATCGAGCTGGATAAGGTTGAGTGGGTTGTCGGATGGGGATCGAACTTTGATTTGGCCGAGACCCAGTTCTTAGTGGAGGTGACGTGGCATTTGGAAGTGAGTGTCTAGCCGAGGACTGCTGTAGTAGCATCCTCTGTCGATCGATCTCCTCAACCTCTCGATACCACTCCCATCTCTTCCCAGGTGGATTCCTCTCAAACTTCTCCTGTATGCTGCGAGTGAGACTTCCTCTGAAGAGATCAATCACTAGCTCGTTGTCATCTAGGTTGACCTGTCCCTCCAAGTCTCTGAACCGCTCTACATGACGTGTGGCGGCACCAGGAGCATCACTTGTGAGTCTGAGAGCCAACAGCTTGTTGTATGCCTCCATCCTAGCATTGCGTGGGTTGAACTGCTCTAACAGTCGCTCTGTGAAGTAGTGCCAATCATTGAACAACCTTCCTTCTCTAGCTCTATCAATACGGAGCTTGGAGGTCCACCACTCTCTTGCTGTCCCTTCCAGTTGAGCACCCATGTGATTGATCATCCTAGACTGCTCATACACCTGGTTGAACTTAAACCATGCTTCGGCTTCTAGAATGAAGATCTCCATGTCTCGGGGATTGAACTTTGGAAAGGGGGTGGCGATGGGCTTTGACCGGTTAAGCTCTGCCATGATGCTGGTATCCTCCTCGTGGTCCAGGGGGTAAGGATCCGTCCTAGTCCTGCTGTAGGGGTCCAGCTTAGTCTTGACATATCTTGGCCCAGTAGGTGAAGCATACTTCTCGTAGTTGATGTCCTCCTGCTCATCCAGGTTGAATGAGACTGATCGTCTTGGTCGTGGAGCCGGAGTAGGAGTATGTGGGTCTCCTATCATAGACTCATCTCCTCCTCCTGCTTGGTCTTCCGAGTGAGAGAGGTCCATTGTCTCCTCCCTACCCAGTTGAGCTCGTTGTAATCATTCCTCTCGATGACCCTGTCTGGTAAGCTCTAGCTGTGCTTCCAATAGAGTGAGTAGTCTATCGAGCTTATTGTTGAGGTCTGGGTCCATCATGGTGATCGTGAGGAGCTGCTTGAACGATCCACTCTAATGTCAGGGGTCTCGCGCCTGAAACCCAGGTCGGTCTGTCGAGATACTCGGTGACTATCAAACTGTGCGACAGCTATTGTCTCGAGATACTCGGTGACTATCAAGTTGTGCAGTGACAGCAGGTGGCGTTTGTTGTATATACTATCGTAGGTTTCGGCTGACCTCTGTGGACACTCCGTTCAGGGGTAGCTCGGCACAATCAATATCAGTGTTATGATGACACCAAGGTCTGGTGTGGGTGTTGATGATGATGAGGTTGATGGTGTTGGTGATGAGATTGGTGATGTCGATGATAATGAGGTTGATGGTGTTGATGATAAGATTGGTGATGTCAATGATAATGAGGTTGATGGTGTTGGTGATAAGGTTGGTGGCGTCAACACGAGTGTCCAGTGTGTTGACTTGATGCTTTGAAGTGATCCCCGGACCGCAGTGGACTACTGCCTTCGGTTCTATCTATATCCGGACCGCTAACCTGCTATGGGCGCCTTCGGACGTCAGGTAGTGGTGATACAACACACACACTACGATGAGGAGCAACCTTGATAGATTGCTGCTATGCTGACTGTAACTAATGAGTACTTGTGTTTCTAAAGTATTGACTAGTTGTATGGTGAGTAGAGTGGATGGGGATCCACTCGACCTATGATGATGAGAAAGCATGGTTATATACCTCTTCACAGCATCGCCAGCGATGCTGCTCCTGCTCTCTCTCCAGAGGGTACTTTCTTCATCGAGTACTGCTCAGGGGCCTCTCCTGCTTGGCACCCCTGTGCCTCTTGAGTGGTGTCGACTCCTTCGACACTGCTCCTCCTCCTCATGACCTGTGTCGACTCCTTCGACACTGCTCCTCCTCCTCATGACCTGTGTCGACTTCCTGTCTCTCGAGCCCCTGAGTGGTAACCATCTGAGCTTGGTCCTCCTCATGGCTGCGCCTGCTCTTTGAGCTTGGTCCTCCTCGTGGCTGTGCCTGGTCCTCCTCGCATATGGGCTCAGTGCTCCTTTGCATGTGAATCCATAGGAGTCCATGGTCTCCATGGAGACTGCACTACGACCATGCTCTCTACTGGTATCGACTAGGTCTTCGATACCTGTGCTCCGTCCATATGAACCAGTGACCCTCCTGCTTCTTGAGCATCCAGGCCCATGACACTTGGCACCCCTGTGCCTCTTGAGTGGTGTCGACTCCTTCGACACTGCTCCTCCTCCTCATGACCTGGTGTCAACTCCTTCGACACTGCTCCTCTTCCTCAGGACCTGCCTGCTAGTGTCCTATACACTGCTCCTTCTCTTTTGACCGGTGACAGTTCCTTTGACTCTTGTCTCTCAAGCCCCTGAGTGGTAACCATCTGCATGCTCCTTGAGCTTGGTCCTCTTCATGGCTGTGCCTGGCCCTCCTTGCATATGGGCTCGGTCCTCCTTTGCATGTGAGTCTGTAGGAGTCCATGGTCTCCATGGAGACTGCACTACGACCATGCTCTCTACTGGTATCAACTAGATCTTCGATACCTGTGCTCCTTCCATATGAACCAGTGACCCTCCTGCTTCTTGAGCATCCAGGCCCATGACACTGAGCATACCAAGTGCGAGGAGATGCACCTGCATCACGAGAGGGAGGAGAAAGAGCGCGATGAATGTGTTCATGCATGTGATCATGAAATGGTGATGGAGATGGTGCACCTCCTTGCTTCTCAGGCCAGTGTCAAACAGGATGCTCATCAGAACACCAGCAACAACAACAATAACACAGACTCTTCATTCAATCTTCCTGTCTTGTAGCATTACATGTACTATCATCCAGTCTCAATGCAAAGTCATTTCTGAGTGTTTTTCTGTAGAGTGCAAGTATGAGGTGAATAAAAATGATGTGCAGCACAGTCACATAATGAGCTCAAAAGCATTTAAACAAAAATTTTCACTCTCACACCTCTTCCATTACTACCACCACTCCACTCTGCAACCTTTCGGCATCGCTCTTGCTGCCATCCCCCCTCTCCATCCCCCCTCTCCATCCCCCCTCTCCATGCTCCCTCTCCAACTCCCTTCCTCCTTCCAGCCATGGTGTGCTACAGCAACAAGCAAGTAATTCTCACTGACATTGTCTGCACTCTCAAGCTCTCTATACCTGCAGAGGTCATCCAAAACACTGACAGAGTGCAGCACTCCTGCAGCACTGACATCAACAACTTGGACGATGATGGCGACCCAATTCTGCTCTCACGACACCTTGTCTGCTTGTACACTTTCATATGCAAGCAAAGGTACACAATCACACATTGCACTCCTCTTGGCTGTGCTGATAAGCTTATCCACCTTCTCAACAGGTATGAATCAAGCAATCATAGGATGTATCATGGACTTGTTCATATGTCACCTGAAGCATTCAACAATCTCGCCATCCGACTCCAGCAAACAGAGGCTTTCTGGTGGAACTACAGCAGCTCAGGTGTGATGTCTCTCAACAAAGTGCAAGAGATTCTTTCAGTGGCTCTGTACAGACTTGGCCATTCTGGAAATGGAGGTGGTGAACATGATGCTGCTTTGCAATGTGGTTGTGGTGTTGGGAGCATTGTTGGATACACCAATCACACAGTTGCTGGCCTCCTCGAGCTAAACAATGAGGTCATGCAGTTTGCTTCAGAGGGAGAGAGACAACATGCTTCTGCCTGGGTGCACAATACAACTGGGGTTGAAGAGTGGGGTAAGGGCTGGCTTGTGGTGGATGGCACACACATCCCTCTTGCCTGGAAGCCAGGAGTGCTCAGTCAAGAGCACTTCTGCTACAAAGGCTTCCCCAGCATCAATGTAGCACTGGTGATCCTGCCACACTCACTTCGGATTGTCAAATCAGTTGTTGGACAGCCTGGCAGTGTTCAGGATTCGAAGGTTTGGGCCTCAGGCAGCAACATCCTGAAGAAGCCTCACCTGTACCTTGATGAAGGTGAGTTCATCTGGGTTGATGGTGGATATGGCCATTCTGCCTTCACAGTTGGACCATTCTCTCACATTGCTGCTGACAAGAGTCAAGACCTTTGACACTTCAACTACATGCTCTCTTGAGTCTGAGTACAAGTCAAACATGCCATTGCATACCTGAAGAACCGCTTCCAGTGCCTTACAGGCTATTGTGGTAACATCTACCATTTCAAGGACCACATCACTGCTGCCGAGATGATCCAAGCCTGCATTGTTGCCCACACCTTTGCAAGTCAATATGACCGTCCTGCTGATATTGCCAACCTGCTGTTGCCCTCTTTCTCTGAGGATGAGGTGAGTGAGGTTGTTCAAAGCCTCCAACTTGATGCCAGTGATACACAAGAGCTCAGGAGGACAAGATGCACAAATCAGCAGGAATACGAACTGGATCTTGCCACTGCAACACAAGGAATGTCACAGTATGCAGTGTCAAGACTTTGAAGTTCTGCTGCACATGATCTTTGAGAGGGTTTGTTCCAGGTGCTGTTCAGATCCACTGGGTGCAATGAGGAAGACACTACTGCATTGTCTCGACGTCATGAGAGGACTACTGTGGACTACATTGCCATGACTCAAAGTGCATCAGCTCAGAGACAGGAGCAAGTCTTGACACAACCATTCTCGATCTGACAGGCACTCTCTCTTCTTCTGTTCAATACAATTCTTCTCACCACCATATGAAACATTACATTGAGTGCATTGTGTGAAGAGGAAAGCAAGATATAAGCAAGCAATGGGTAATAGCAATGAGAGTGACAAGTAACATGACCACTGTTAGGTTACGTATTTTATCGGCCATATGATTTCATTGCATTTTTGGAAACCTGCTTTTCCTTGGGGGGGGTTCAAATTCCCTCCAAAAACATGCTCTCGAAAAAACCCGTGTTTTTAAAATTGCAAAAACTTTGATACCCCCTAAAGGAAAAAGTGAGATAGCCGGAATCGCTCGGACTTGTTATCGGGATTTTTTGGGAGGAGCCGATCCAACGTTATCGAGAATCGAAGCGCCAACCACTGGTTAAGGGTAAGGAGTGCGGGCAATAATTTCACGTTTCCGCGTCTCAAAAAAGCGACTTTTTTTTTTCTTTTTTTTTTTTTTTTTTTCTTCGCCCGTTGGCTGCCGACTTTCTTCTCACGCGGCCGTGCATTGGTCTCTGACTCGGCAACATTCACTCCATCTCCTCATCGCCCTCACCCCTTGCTTCCTCGTTTTCACACCACCAACCTTCACCCACCCCTTCCTATCATCTCACCGCCGAAATGTCGCCACCTCCAGGAATGAAGCGTGAATCAGCCCAAGCCCGACTTCTCGGCTCGGGTCTATCCGGCATTGCTGAACTACTCGTCTTCCACCCTGTCGACACAGTCGCCAAAAGACTGATGTCCAATAAAACCACGGGTCTATCTATGACTCAAATCGTATTCAAAGACAAAGCTTCCGCCAACGTCTCCACCAAATTCCTCTCCCTCTTCCCCGGTCTAGGTTATGCTGCAGGATACAAAGTGCTTCAACGAATCTACAAGTTCGGTGGTCAACCTTACTTTAACGATTACCTTACCTCGAACCACAAAAAGTCATTCGATAACTTGTTCGGTGAACGAGCAGGAAAGAGTATCATGTCTGCTACCGCTGGCTCGCTTACTGGTATTGGAGAAATCGTACTTCTACCCCTAGACGTACTTAAGATTAAGAGGCAGACCAACCCCGAGGCATTCCGATCCAGGGGTTTCTTGCGCATCCTTGCCGACGAAAACGTAAACCTTTACCGCGGATGGGGTTGGACCGCAGCCCGAAACGCTCCAGGCTCATTCGCACTGTTCGGCGGAAGTGCATTCACAAAAGAGTACATTTTCGGGTTGAAAAACTACTCAGATGCCACCTGGACCCAAAACTTCTTCGCTTCCATCGGCGGTTCAGTCGCTTCCATCACCGTAGCCGCCCCGCTTGATGTGGTAAAGACCAGAATACAGAATGCTAACTTTGAAAGCAAGGTAGGAGGTGTGCAAATCATCAAGGAGATGGTAAAGAATGAAGGTTTCAGTGCGTTTTTCAAGGGTTTGACACCAAAAGTGTTGGTTGTGGGACCAAAGTTGGTGTTCAGTTTCACCATCGCTCAGAGTTTGATTCCGTTCTTTGGCAAGTACGTCTAAGAAGCAGCTGGAAGAAGAGATTGATGGGAGAAGTGGAGAGGAGGGGATAGATCGAGAGAGCCGGACGATCATCACAAAAGGCACAGCGAGCAGTTGACGCCGACACGCCATGTATATACAGACACGAGTTACGATACGATCGCACGCAACGTTTTTTCAACCACCATTCCATACCAAATCAGACCTACGGCAGGGCAAGCGCAACACACCATGTCAAAGCGTTGTCAGCTTCGGAAGATGGCGTGACAACTCTTACACTCAGACATGGCTGTGACGTTGGATCATCTGACTCGACACGAATCAACTCGACATGGATCAACTCGGCACAAACCACAAGCACGCCCACCATCTGAGTCAGAAGCTAAACATTAACAGCGCAAAACAAGGAGTCCCATCAAAGCTCCAAGTGCTCGGCAATAGGCGGTGCCTCCTTCTTCTTGCCTCCGTCACCGCCTTCTTCTCGCTCTTTGGCATCGTAGAACCGCTTCACGCGTTCACTCAAACTGTCACCCACCTTTTCCATTCTCAATGGACGAGGTTGTTTCCCTGCTGCGCCTTTGCCTTGCTTTACCTTGCCCGATCCCTTGATCTCTTTAGCGCCATTGACACCGGCCATGAGCTTGTTGTACATTTTGGCAAGTTCGTCTGGTGTCTCACCCTTGCCTTTCCCCTTCTTTTGCTTCTCCTTCTTTTGCTTCCCCTCCTCTCCGTCTTCAGCGTCTGACGATCCGTACTGTTGCAGCATCTTCGAACTGAGCACCTTTGAAATCTGTTCTGCCAACTTTGATTCCAAGCTTGCACCTTCTTCACCACGAAGGACGGAGGGCAAATCTTCCAAATCCAGCTGAATCTCTAACGTTTCCTCTTCCTCCCCATCTCCGGACTCGTTAGTGGTATCATCCGAGCGCTTCTTCCCGCCTTCTCGCCTCCGAACTTCTTTCGCGTCTGGATTAGTCGCGGAATCGGAAGAGGCGACGACTTTGTTCACCTGCACTCTCCCCTCCTCATCCATACTAACCTCCACCATTATCTCGGCCTCCTCTTCCCCTCCCACTTCCAACCCCTCTTCACCCTGATACTCATGGAACGACGCACCATGCCCACCCAGAGCCTCATCGAAGAAATCATCATGTACACTTCCATATCTCGACAGATCCCCAAATGTATGCGACGTCGAACTTGCCTCTTCCGCACTACTCGTCTCTTTTCGCTCCCCCTCCCCCTCCCCATCCCCCTGCTCTTGACTCTTACTAGCCTCCTTTGCATCAATCTCGCCGAGGGCCGGTTGAACTTTCTTTGGATCCCCCAAAGTCGCACCCCCAAACGAATCCTCTACGACCCTATGACACTCTATGGGTAACGGCTTGTCTTCTGTCTCGCTCCCAAACGCTGGGTCTGCGCATAACCTGGGAGTCTCGATAACCAACACATAATTGCAAATGGTAGTCTCTTTAAACATCACAATCCTATCCTCGAGTGGTTTGCGGCTGGAACAATGGAATTGAACTTCAACGGTACGCGGTTGATGGTTCATATCGCACATCGTTCCATTTGTCCATCGCTGCGTTAGATGCCTGTGCCTCTGCGATTCGCCGCCGCTGCTCGTGGCGGAGGAAGACTCGATCGCGCTATCGGAGTGTTTGAACTGAGACAGAGCTTTTGCCTCAGCAGCGAAGAGCTCTTCCTCGTCCCAATCGCCAAATTGCACTTCTTCCACGAGATCCAATCCTGCTGAGTTGACTAGTGACCCCATTCCCCCGCGGTTGGCAGAGTTGGAAGATGATACGGCTGATACACCTTTCGACTCTTCCAAAGCCGGCTGCTGCTGATGAGTGGGGTTCTCATCAACAATCTCTTCGCTCTGCGGCGTCCATCTCCCAAGAATGAAAGCAGGATACTCGGGATCAGCAACAGGATGAACAAAGCTGTTCACCTTTTCCGCTGCTTCTAGCGCTGCTTTCTTCCCCGCCTCTCCTCCACCTGCTTTCTTGAACGCTTTATGCGCCGCACTCTGCGGTCCCAATCTCCGGAACTGGCGGATTTCTTTTCCGTGGCAGAAGCTGTAGGTGAACCAATCTGTCGTATGATAGAGACACACTTTCTTCAGCGGATCCAATAGCGCTTGTGCGTTCCGGATGAGTTGCTGCTTCGACCGCGGCGGAGTCGGTGCTCCACGACGTTGTTTGACAGCAGGAGTGTAAGTGAAGTCCGGTATAGAGCAGAGCTGCAATTCAGTAGGTGAACTTCGCTGGAGCGACCAAAACAACGTGCGTGAATTCCCTTCTTGCGTGTAGGAAGGGTATGAATCGGAGTTGCCCGGTACAGAGAGTGAATGCCAAGTCTCGCGATTGAACAAGCTGGATGAGGAGGAGGAAGAAGAAGCTTCCTGCTGCTCCAAGATCCTCACCGCATCAGTACGTTTGATTGGTAAGGTGGAGGTATCTTTGAGTAGACCGCCCAAGCGTACTTGGAATGCAGGCTTGGCGAAAACATCTTGTGGGAATCCTGCCGAGGTTGAAATGGCTGCGTCAACAGTGTAGGCTTGGAGATAGAGGAGGCTGAGGAGGAAAACGATCGATCTTGGGTTGGCTGGTGCCAGAGACGTCAACATAACTTGCTGTAGGCGATGTGGTGGGCGTGGTGGTGATGTGAGAAGCGTTGAAGGAGAGTTAATGATCGAGGTGCAAGCACAAGCCGAGCATCTGATGAGGTGGAAGCAAGTGCATCGCCCTTTTCTCGCACGGAAGAAATCTCTCCCAAAATGGCACTGCGATAAATGTTAAGCCTTGGGCGAAACGCGGCACCAGAGCACACGGGAGACACGGCACAGCGCACAGAGCACAGAGCAGATATGACAACGAGAAACAGGCTGTGTCGGTTAGGGGAGTCACATCCATCATCACGACGACATCCTCCTTTCACCTCGTCGCATCTGCATCGGCACGCCGCACGCGGCAGCATATTTCGCACCTCCTCTACGCCAGCTTTGGCATCCAGTGTAACTGCTCTCGGCAACGACGACGAAATCGTGACAATACAAGCGACGACACAGGTTACAAACCCCATGCAAGGATCCCGATTGAAAATCGAAAGACTCGGTACTAGCAGTGACATAGTATCCTAGAAACATCAGTGCGCTTCTACCACTGCGCTACCCTCGCCCAACATGAGCGCAAATCAAAATGACGATCTGAACCCGTTTCAGATTCCCGACGACGAGAATGGCGCTTCCAAAGCGGCGGCCGATGCCACCAACCAGGCTTTGGCTGCATCTTCGCACTCATCCGTACGCAACGCCACAGATGGCGATGCGAATAGAGTCCCAGAAGATGACGATGGTCAAGGATGGGGAAGCTCTTCCTCTCGAGCGCTGATGGACGCTGCTACTGGTAATCCATCCTCCACTTCAGCTGGAGGCGCAGGCGCAGCCGGTAACACCTTTTCACCTTCTTCCATGCTTCGAGCCACCTTCGCCTCGCCTCTCTCCGTAATCGAGATTGTAGATGCGCAGAAGTCCGGCGACGGCGGTTCCTCATTCATCGTCTATGTCATCCGCAACGCTTCAACAGAAGCCAAACGTCGATACTCTGAATTCGAAGCATTACGTGAAGCGCTCATCCGTTTGCATCCTACCATCATCATCGCTCCTATTCCTTCGAAACATACACTGTCCGACTACGCTGCTAAACAGAGCAAAGCCAAAGAAGACGCTACCATCATTGCGCGTCGTAAACGCATGCTTCAGAGCTTCCTCCGTCGATGCGACAACCATCCCAAGCTGCGAGGAGACGAAGTGCTGCAGAAGTTCCTCGACGGACGGTATCACTGGAACGACATTACCGCCAGTCCGCCAATGGCGCATTTGTCCAAGAACAACCTCCGTGCTCCGGTACAGAATCCTGCCGATCCACACGCTAGTCCAGCATACGCGCACCTCCCGCTGCCTTCGTCGGTGTCGTCACTACGACAGCCGAATCAGAGGTTTATTGATTCGGAAGCGTTTACGAATCGTTTTGCGAACCACCTTTCGGGTAGTATGGAGAAAGTGAATCGGAGGTTGATGCGGAGATGGACGGAAGCGTCTACGGATTATGCTGAGTTGGGGGCAATTTTGAATGGCTTTTCGCTCACAGAAAGTGGCCAGTTGGCCACGGCGATTGAAAGAACAGGACAGGCGGCGGACGCGGCGTACATTGCAACGGGTCAAATGCTCAGAACGTGGGAAGAGAAGTTTACGGAACCTTTGCACGAGTATACTCAATTTGCGGCGATTCTGCAGAAGGTGTTGAAGTGGAGACATTTGAAGCATTTGCAGTATGAATTGGCACAGGATGCATTGGAGGCGAAAAAGACTCAACTTGAGGAGCTGGAGAGGGTGGAGAATGAAGCAAAGAGATTGGATGAGGCTTTGGAGAGAGGTGGGGCCGGGTTGTTGAGCAATAATGGGAGAGTGAGCGGTGGAGGGATTGATGCGAACGGGATAAGGGATGGAGTCGGGTCTGGGTTCCGACCTTGTTCCTCCGTCTATGGTCGGGCTAGTGATCAGGAACCCGATTCGACGAGCAACAGTAAAGCCACCGAGGCTAACCCCTCCTCCACTACGACAGACGCCAGCGCTCGATCTCGAGCAACCTCGCCGCCAGCATCACCCTCCAAACGTTCTTCTTCCCGCAGCACCGGCTACGGTCTCCTCGGCGCAATCACTCACACATTCCAATCAGTCATGGATGTAGACCGCGATGCATCCCGTCGATCCAACATCTCCAAATTGCGTGAAGAAATCGCTCTCCTCCAAGAAGGTCTCGCCCTCACATCGAACGATTTACACTATGCCACAACAGCGATTCAAGCAGATCTGGATAGGTTTCAAAGACAAAAGGTGAGCGACTTCAGGGAGATGATGTTGGACTTTGCCAAGATGCATAAAGAGTTTGCTCAGGCGAATTTGGATAATTGGAAAGAAGCGAAGAGGGAGATGGATAGTGTGGAAAGACCAATGGGGATGCCGGAGAGTAGTTTGGGGAGGAGAGAGAGGGAGGGGGTTGCTAACCCCGGTGGTTCTGGCGAGGCAGGAAGGAGGAGAAGTTGAGGATGGGATCAGGGTTTGGATGTGAACTCATGATTGCACTGTTTATTCAAGATTGTATAATGCTATGTTGCGATGTGTGATGGCGTGAGGATAGTGGTATTGCGTTGGTCAGAAGCTTTACCGAAAAGGTCGGTAAAGTTGGCATGCCATTGTAACTGACCAATCACCACATCAGCAAACTCTTCAAGAGCCTCTAAGCATGCCTCTTCCTTTGACTCCTCTTCGGAGCGGTTGTGAATGCCAAAATACTCCACAAGCCCTTTAGCTGCTGTGGAGATTCTTTCCAGGGCAGCTTCTGCATCTGTTCCCTTGGCAATATCAACACTTCTGTAAGCCAAATTGATATTGCTCTGCAAAGGCACTGGTCTTTGGGGTGAAGCTCTATAACCCTGTGAAAGAGAGGGCCCTGGTCTCATTTGACTTGTCACCAACCCAGCTTCAGCAGCAGTTTGCTTGGAACTGCTCAGAGGATTGGAGGAGGTGGTGGTGGGTTGGCCTGCACCATGTCAGGCCACCTTGTATCCAGCTCCTCTTTTTGTGCCCTGGTTGTCAAACTTATTCCCACAGTGCACCCTTAGAATCTTGGGGGTGACACCAGCAAGATAGTCATTGAGACTTACCTTGTCATATTGCAGGTGGCCAAAGACAGCTGAGCTGCTGTAGACCATGACATCAGCAACTATGTGAGCCTTGCCCTGGCTCACAAGCCCATCCCACTTTGTGACTAGAGTCTGATCCAGCCAGAACTTGTGGTGACAGGGGGGATTTGACTTGCCATTGCAAGGCTTGCACTTTACCTCATAGCTGCCAGAGTCAGCAGGCACACAGTCAATGCTGACCTGCAAGCATCTTTCACACGGCCCACAGTGCCTGGCAGCCAGAATCTTGTGAGCCCTGTGTCATGGGCCTGGATGCGCAGAGAAGAAGGAAGAACCGAAGTTCATATGAAGGCAGCACAGGAATCAAGGGATCGGGTGGAATGTAGGATTTGTGGCAGAGCTCACTGAGATTGGCAGTATAATTAGCTCTATGACAGATCACAGCAAAATCGGCATGAGCATCAACCATATCATGAATCCTGCCAGAATCTGCAGCAAGCAAGATTGTGTGACAGATTCCACAGAGATCAGTAGTAAGGATGTCTGTATGATGATTCACATGCGAGGAGGACCAAGCTCTGCTGGGCCGAGGACCAAGTTTTGCCAAGATGGGGACCAAGCTCAGTGACATGTGGTCAGTTACCACTCAGGGGCACACAGGACAGGAGTAAAGGGGAACTGTGCCAGGGGTCTCACGCCTGAAACCCAGGTCGGTCTGTCGAGATACTCGGTGACTATCAAACTGTGTGACAGCTATTGTCTCAGTATCAGTCTCGATGAGCTAGTCACTTGGTGACTATCAAGTTGTGCAATGACAGTGGGTGGCATTTGTTGTATATACTATCATAGGTTTTGGCTGACCTCTGTGGACACTCTGTTCAGGGGTAGCTTGGCATGATCAATATCAATGTGTAGGTTATGATGACACCAAGGTCTGGTGTGAGTGTTGATGATGATGAGGTTGTTGATGGTGTTAGTGATAAGGTTGGTGGCATCAACACAAGTGTCCAGTGTGTTGACTGATGCTTGAGGCGATCCCCAGACCACAGTGGACTACTGCCTTCAGTTCTATCTATATCCAGACCACTGACCTGCTATGGGCTGCCTTCGGATGTCAGGTAATGGTGATACAACACACACACTATGATGAGGAGCAACCTTGATAGATTGCTGCTATGCTGACTGAAACTAATATATACTTATGCTGAAGTGATAACTAGTTATGATGGGTGTAGAGTGGATGAGGATCCACTCAACCTTTGATGATGAGAAAGCATGGTTATATACCTCTTCACAGCATCGCCAGCGATGCTGCTCCTGCTCTCTCTCTCCAGAGAGTACCTTCTTCATCGAGTACTGTACAGGGGGCCCCTCTAGCGCCACTCCTGTCCTCCTTGAGCTATCCTGCTTGCTTGGCACCCCTGTGCCTCTTGAGCTGTGTCGACTCCTTCGACACTGCTCCTCCTCCTTGCTATCTGTCATGGGCCTGAATGCTCAAGAAGCAGGAGGGTCATGTCAGGGGTCTCGCGCCTGAAACCCAGGTCGGTCTGTTGAGATACTTGGTGACTATCAAACTGTGCAACAGCTATTGTCTCAGTATTGGTCTCAATGAGTTAGTTGCTTCAGTGACTATCAAGTTGCGTGATGACAGCAGGTGGCATTCATTGTATATACTATTGTAGGTTTTGGCTGACCTCTGTGGACACTCCATTCAGGGGTAGCTCGGCATGATCAATAACAATATGTAGGTTATGATGACACCAAGGTCTGGTGTGAGTGTTGATGATGATGAGGTTGTTGATGGTGTTAGTGATAAGGTTGGTGGCATCAACACAAGTGTCCAGTGTGTTGACTGATGCTTGAGGTGATCCCTGGACCGCAGTGGACTACTGCCTTTGGTTCTATCTATATCCAGACTGCTGACCTGCTATGGGTTGCCTTCGGATGTCAGGTAATGGTGATACAACACACACACTATGATGAGGAGCAACCTTGATAGATTGCTGCTATGCTGACTGAAACTAATATATACTTATGCTGAAGTGATAACTAGTTATGATGGGTGTAGAGTGGATGAGGATCCACTCAACCTTTGATGATGAGAAAGCATGGTTATATACCTCTTCACAGCGTCACCAGCGACGCTGCTCCTGCTCTCTCTCTCCAGAGAGTACCTTCTTCATCGAGTACTGTACAGGGGGCCCTTCTGGCACCACTCCTGTCCTCCTTGAGCTATCCACTCCTTCGACACTGCTCCTCCTCCTTGCTATCCTGCTTGCTTGGCACCCTTGTGCCTCTTGAGCTGTGTCAACTCCTTCGACACTGCTCCTCCTCCTTGCTATCCTGCTTGTTTGGCACCCTTGTGCCTCCTGAGTGGTGTCGAATCCTTCGACACTGCTCCTCCTCCTCAGGACCTGCTTGCCAGTTCCTTATACACTGCTCCTTCTCCTTTGACTGGTGACAGTTCCTTTGACTCTTGTCTCTCAAGCCCCTGAGTGGTAACCATCTGCATGCTCCTTGAGCTTGGTCCTCTTCATGGCTGTGCCTGGCCCTCCTTGCATATGGGCTCGGTCCTCCTTTGCATGTGAGTCTGTAGGAGTCCATGGTCTCCATGGAGACTGCACTACAGCCATGCTCTCTAATGGTATCGGCTAGATCTTCGATACCTGTGCTCCTTCCATATGAACCAGTGACCCTCCTGCTTCTTGAGCATCCAGGCCCATGACATGAGGTTTCGGCGGGGGGACGAGACTAACAAGCACGAGGAGAAGGAGAAATCAGTAAGAAGGGTGTTAGAACCGATTTGAGCGAAAAATGTGAGAGTAGAGGCACTATTACAGACTACATGGAAATCTGTCACAGTACTTGTGGTATGGCAGATTTCAGGAAGAGGACTCAAAATACTACTCTCACCATACAAGAAGTGGGTCAAGAGCATGGTACTCAACAGCCAGGCTCATAATCAACATCACAGGAGTCAGGCCACAGACTCAGTTCAAGAAACAAGGGCATTGATATTACAGAATGAGACATGTCACTACATGTTGACATAGGAAGAAGGAGGAGGAGGAGGGGCAAGTGATGAACAGATCACCAGTTCCTCCTCAGTAGGGGCAACCCACTCGTGAAGGAGGTCTGGGGGACCACCAGACTCCATGACAGACCCATGAGGCTGATGCTCCAAGTACAGTCGGTCATGACACTTGATGTATAGCTGGAGCATATGGAGGAGGGAACTTACCAATTCCTGTCGGTGTAAGTGCCACATGACCTGCATTGTGGCCACCCAGCCATGGGTCGTCACTGGGTTGGTGGTTCATTCCTCTGACTGAACCAAGCCAGGACCATATCCATCTGCTACAGTTAGGTGTGCGTGTTCTACCTGATGAGACCCACGAGGTTGCAGACTCAGAGTCCCATCACTGGTGTAATCCATGCTGGGATGGGCTGGGATGCTATGCTCGCAGTGACCCAACCCAGCCAAGTAGCAGTGCACACAGGCACAAGGGATTTGGGTATGCTCACCAAATGGGTTGGTAAATGCAGACACAAAGCAGCTAAAAAGTGAAGAAAGGAGATCATCAGTATCAGTTCAGAGTCGAAAGCGAAGTGTGAGAAGTGTACTTATGGAATGCCTAAGTTGAAGCAGCAACGACACTGCCAACTCGGCCATGGCATGCAACCCTCCATGAGGCGAAGCATGACTAAACAGTGAAGACATTTAGCTGGTAAAGAACCAACTGGTATGTCCCAGTCGGGAGGGTAGTAATGGTCAGTGACCTGAGTCAAGAGCTTGGCCATGACAAATTGTTCTGACCACCCAGCAATTTCACCATTGCTGGGAAGGTGGCAGTCTGGAGGAGGAGTTCGTCGAGCCACCCAGTGGGGAGGGGGCGTCAAAGGTTGGACCACCAGCCGATATACTGGAGTCTCAGCCTGAGGGGCCAACAGGATCGTGTCAATCACCTCATCAGCAGCAGGTGGTGGAGTGGGAGACTGGGCCAATTCAGCCTCCCAAACTGCTTGGCACTCCAGATTCATCATCTCCAGTGCAGCACATCGTGAGTTGACCTCATACAGGTCAATGGCTGGAGAAACCAGGGAATGGTCATTCCCCATGGGGTTTGGAACGATGGGAGCCAAGTACAGGGAAGGGAGGGGAGTGATGACTGCATCATCATCCATCCCCAAGAAAAGAGGCTCCAGTGGTGAATGAGCCACCAGAGAAGCCAGGGGAACAGCAGAAGAAGGAGGAGGCAGAGGTTCAGCTGTTGGAGCCGAATCCTCATGCAGACGTAGTCGAGGAATGATCTGACAATGACTAGAGGTGGGAGTAGCATCATTAGCAGAGGACCACGAATGAGTATTGTAACAAGAGCTCATGCTGATGATGAGTAGATGGAACAAGATGGTAGTATGACTTAGACATGGTGCAAAACATGCCTCGATGGAGCTCAGCTCTTAAGAGGGGGGTAATGTCATGGGCCTAAGCTGCACAGAGCGAGGGAAGGCCGAATTGATATGAAGGTAGCGCAGGAATTGTGGGATCGGGCAGATCATAAGGTTTGCAGCAGGACTCACCAAGATCGGCAGTAGAATCAGCTCTATGGCAGATCGCAGCGAAATCGGCACAAGCATTGTTGATATCACGAATTCCACCAGAATCTGCAGCAAGCGAGATCATGTGGCAGATTCCGTGGAGATTGGTAGTAAGGATGTCCGTACAACGATTCACATGCGAGAGGGACCGAGCTCAGTGACATGCAGTTGGTTACCACTCAGGGGCCCACAGGACAGGAGTAAAGGAGAACCATCGCTGGTCACAGGAAGGAGGGCTGTGTAAAAGACACCAGTGAGAGGGACATGAAGAGGAGGAGCAGTGTCAATGAAGTTGACACAGCTCAGGAAAGACAGGGGGGACAAGGCTTGATATGGAGGAGGGGCCTCTTTGGAGATCCCTGTACAGTACTCGACAAAGAGGGTACTCTCTGGAGAGAGAGAGAGCAGGAGCAGTGTCGCTGGTGATGCTGCAAAGAGATATATAGCCATACCTTCTCATCACAAATGGTTGAGTGGATCCTCATCCACTCTATACACCATAATAACTAGTATTACTTCAAGCAAATAAGTATCATTAGTTCACAGTCAGCATAGTAGTAATCAATAGATTGCTCCTCATTGAAGTGCATGTGTTGTATCACCATTTCCTGATGTCCGAAGGTGGTTTGTAATGAACCAGTGGTCTGGATAGCAATAGAACTGAAGGCAGTTGTCCACTGCAGCCTGGGGATCACCTCAAGTGCTAGTCAACACACTGGACACTTGTGTCAACATCATCAATCCATACTCACACCAGACCATTGGTGTCAACATCAAGTTCCCTTAGAGTCATATTGTAGTTTGATCATGCTGAGCTACCTCTGGATGGAGTGTCCACAGTGGTCAGTCAAAATCTGTCATAACGTCAATACAACTACAGATTCCAATGAGAAAAGCAGTAGAGATGACTCTGTCGCATATTTCACTAGGAATCGAAATACCATTGGCACTGTTGCATAACTTGACAGAATCGGTGATAGTACTGATACTACTACTGATCTCAGGTTTCAGGTGTGCGACCTCTGACAACCAGCAATTCCAACAGCATGCAGAGAGCTCAGAGTATCTGTGATGGCTTTGACACAATGGAGACCATGCAGCATGATGCGATTCTTGGACTCTTTGCCCCTCTGGACCAAGCCCTGAATGTCAATGATGTTGTGCTGTGACAAGTAGCTCTTGACAATCTGTGAAGAGGCAATCGAGTGCCCAACAGAGAGCCTCTTTGCTCCCTCTGTCACTGAGGTACAGTCCAGCATCTGAATTGTCATGCATCAAAGCAAGTACATTGTGTATTCAGGCATGCCAGCAGCAAGAGCAATCTTTTTTGTGGCAACATCAGACATATTTGTCATCCAGGGTGCCAATTCCGAGATGACCCAATTGCTGCTGCTTGTTGGGCTGTTGTTGTCAGCTGCAAGCAAAGTGGAAGTGGAAGTGGCACTTTGATGCTGGGCCATTGCTACTGAAGTGGTACCTCTTCCTGAAGACAATGCTGACTTGATTGCATGAAGCACAAAGCGATCTTTGGCCTCAGCCTTAATGGGAATAGGAAGGAACTCACCCACATATTTAAAGTATTCTGGATCAGCTGTCTCCATCATGCTGGCAATGCTGATGCCATGGTCAAAGATGCCATCCTCTTCGGCCAGCTGGGCAAGGATGATTGCTGGCTCCATGAAGGCTGGACTGCCATTGTCATAAAGGGGTTGACTCTGGTACATGTTGGGATTGGTTTGTCCACCCTTCAAATTACAGAAGGTGACCTTGCAGCCAAGGTGGTATTGGGTTCATCAACATTGTGAAGGTTGCACTTCATGACCTGAATCCCAAACAACAAGCATGCCACCATCATCCTCCATCAACTTGTTATCATCATCATCTTGTTCATCATCATCATCATTGTCCCAGAGTGTCAGGTAGAAATCTAGATCACAATACTTGAGGGCATCAGTTGCAAGCCTAGTGAGTGCCACCTTGCCAGGTCGAGCTGTGCAGTATGAGACAATGAGGTGGAGAGCAGCAAGCTGCAGCTGCTCATGAGGACAACAAAGCAAAAGATGATTGCCAAAGATGCCATCTGTGATAAAAGTGACAAGATCACAATAACATGCCACTGGTTTGGGTTTTGCTTTGTGGATGCTTTCCACTGTAATCAGTGCCAACACTTCCAAGGCAATGTTATAGTCAATCCACTTGTGTGTCAGATGGTAATAGATGGTCTTGATGTGCTGCCAGCTGCTGCAAGCCATAGATAGGTATTGCTTCTGCTCTGGGTTGACAAACAACTCTTTCTGATGATAGATGCAGAATTTGGCAACCATCTTCCAAAACAAGCAATTAGCTGAGACATTGTGTCTAGGTGGGGATGAGAGGATGTCATCAGCAGTGATGATTGAGTGAGGACCATAAGCATGTGGGAGGAAAACCTTGTCACAAAAAGTATGCAAGACTTGCTCCACCACAGCATTCCCCAAGTGGGTGCCAGGTGAGAGGTGTTGTGCATGGAACATATCATTAAGGTCTTGCTCCACCTCAGCTAGATTCTTGCACAACTCCAAGAAGGCTGGATTATCATCAAAGCAATTCGATACCTCCTTGGCCTGCCTGACAAGGTGTTCCTCTGTGAGGGAGGTGTGGTCACCAAACTTGCCAATGCGAGTTGCTCCTGTTGGCACTACCTGGCCAAATCCCTGAAGAGGGTGTGAAGGTGCATTTGACATGGTAGAGAGAAGAGGATACAAGGTGCAGAGTTTGATGGCAAACAAGTGGTACCTTCTGTGACCAGAGGAGGAGCATGATTGCAAGAGAGTGCCACTTTGGAAGCAAAGTGGTGCTGAAAGTGAATTTGATTGGCTTGGTTGGTTGCAAGAGGGATGCTACAGACAAATTTAGAGTGAAGCTGAGAGAAAGAAGCTGAAGGTCAAGGAAGACGAGGGAAAGGAAGGGCAAATCTGGGATGTGGGAATGATCTGGGCCCCTTATATGCACCATGAAAAGCCAGCAGCAAGCAAGTCCTGCCAAAGGGAGAGCATCATTCCCTTTCCCAAGGGCAACACTGGCACCATGCCAGGCTGAGCAAGGTTGATGCTTTCACCCAAGCTGTCCAGCTAGCCAGCCTGGACCACTCATTGTTGGCTGAGGTGCTGAAGGGAAGAAGAGGAGGAGAGAAGCCAAGGCTGAAGGTGAAGCTGAGCTGAACCATTGTTTTGAATTGCTCGAGCCATCCCATCCCTTTCATCAAGGTACTGAGCCAAAGTCGCCAATGTGACACTTGAGTTGCTGAGCCATGTTGCCTTGGCTTGAGATGAGGCAACAAGATGACTCAGCTGCCAGATTGACAAGAACAAGGAGTAGTATGGAAAGGAACAAGAGGAGGAGAAGGAAGACAGATAGGCTGAACACAGACTGACTGCCTGCCTGGCATGCATCTGTGCATTTGTGTGTCCATGCCTGTGTTGCTTGATGTGACTTTGGAAAGAAACACACCTCCTCAATGTGACTGTGGAGAAGAACAGGAGAGGAAAAAAGGACTCAACTCAACTCTGCTTGACTGAAGCTGACATAATCCCCCATGTCACCTCCTCGCCTTCGTTGAGAACGATTTGCTTCCCTGAACCTCCGGGTGCTTAGATTGACATCTCCTGATAAACGATGTCAAAGAGCCAAATTCTTCAACAGACCGAAGCTGACATAATCCCCCTTGTCCGCTTCTCGGCTTCGTCAAGAAAGGTTTGTTTCCCTCCAACTCCGACCAGAGCCGATCTGATCGGAGATCAGGCAAGAGCCAATCCGGTTAGATGACCGATCTCACCAGAGATCGGGTACAACACAGTCCCGCTCGTTGTCAAGCTAGATCATTAAGTACAACAGCTCCCACACTCGGCATGTGCCACCACGATGTATATATATCAAGCTGAGAGCAAGTTGAGGAAGTTGAAGCCGCACAAAGCGTGGAGACAGCATGAGGGTAGTGCTTACGGCCGAGTAGAAGGACTAAAATGTGTCACAACCTACTCAAGGCAAATGCTTTGTTATGCTCCGCAGTTAATGCGGCTCTCCGCCGCTCTCCTTTTGTATATATATAGACTCCTCGCTCTCTCGCTCTCTGTCTCTTACCACCATCATCATCGTTCAATACCATACTCCTCAACTGATTAAGAGTCTGAAGCTCAGCAGCTTCCAGCCCACCGCCACCAAGATAGAGTCTGAAGCTCAGCAGCTTCCAGCCCACCGCCACCAAGATGCCACCAAGAGTAGACAGCGTAGCGCTACTCGAACGCACAATGCAAATGATCAGGGAAACTCACATCGACTGGGATGAAGACCAAGTCCTGGAGCGCGCCTTCTCGCTAATAAACATCCAACCCAACACCAACCAAGCGGAGAAGATCCCCAAGTCGGTGCTCAGCATCATATCGCAAATCGTCAAGCTCAACGAGAACAACTGGGCCATCTGGGAGCCGATGTTCATGGACTGTATCCGGCCGGTCAAGAACGCCAAGCGGATCCTCACTGAGGAGATTCCCAGGGGCCACACCGACTATGATGAGGAACTGGACAGCCACTTGCTGGGCCTCATCCTATCCTCCTGCGACCACGGACCCACCAGCCGCATCGACACCTACACAGTGCGGGAGCAAGGTGAGGAGGAGCAACTCGGCTCTACACTCTACAGGAAACTCAAGGCCGCACTCACAATAAACGACGAAGTTAAACTCTCCGCCATCCACGACCGAGTACACGAAGTAAAACTAGCCCAGCGGAACATTGTCAACCTCGGTAAGGAGCTCGACCAAATCTGGAATGACGCAGCCAGGCTCGGAAGCCGCATGGACGAAAAGCTCAAGAAGTCTACTCTGTACCGCTGCGTCAAGGACGACTGGCTCTACACCCAGACAGTAGACTCCCTCAAAGCCGCTCAACCTGGTTGCAGCTACGAGTATGCCTACCATGCACTAGCCAAGAAGCACCAAGAAGCCGAGCTCTCAGGTCGTATCCGAGCCACGGCCAGAGTTGCAAGCAACAGAAGTCCGGCAGGCCAAGCTGGCGAGCACAGGCAGGTCCTTAACCAAGAGGGCTACAACAGGGGCAGGCGTGACCCTGCGCACCCTAATGAACCGGCCAAGTGCTACAAGTGTAGGCAACCCGGGCACATCGCCATCAACTGCACCAACAGCCAGGAGCGAACCCCTACTCAGCAGGAATAGGGACTCGGGTGCACCTCTTTCGTAAGCAACACTGGCAACCGCAACCAAGACAGCACGTGGATTCTCGACTCAGGAGCTACACATCACATGGTACGTGATGGGGGTAAGCTCATTGCTTCGACGCCGAAGCAAGGATCCGTAGACACTGCTGGGCATGAACGGTTGCGGGTACAGGCTATAGGCGATGCAACTTTGCGAGTAAGAGACGTCAAGATACCGCTCACTGATGTACTTCACGTCCCCAACCTTAGCAAGAACCTATTGTCAATCCCAGCGCTGACTGAAAATGGTGCACGCGTGATATTTGAAGAGTCTGGAGCTACTATCCTCCAACACGATGGGAGCATGGTCAAGAGCAAGACCAACCGGCGCAAGAAGAGATGGGAGGTCTACAGTGACGCCCTAGCAGCACAGCTCAATGATCCCCTAGAGGGCATTGATGCCACCACAACACCAGCAAAGCCCGCAAGCCACACAACGAGCAAACTATGGCATGAACGATTCGGTCACCCTGGCAGGAACAAGACCAAGCAAATCCAGGCCCACTACTTAGGAAAAGAGACACAGCTTGGACATGACGCAAGGGACTGCAACTGTTGCAGCCAAGCAAAGCAAACACGCGCAAGAATGACAAGCAGCAAGACAGAGCGAGCCCAGGCACCTCTGGAGCTGGTACACATTGACCTGATGACGGACCTGAAAGGCCATCCCAACTACCACCACGCATTGATAGTTGTAGATGACTCGTCATCTTACGTATATGTGAAACCACTCCTCAGCAAGGCCGAAGCGTTCCCTGCCCTAAAAGCATGGATCAAGACGGCAGAGATAGCAACGGACCACACACTAAAGTGCATCCGCAGCGACAACGGAACAGAGTGGTCCAGCTTTGGAGCAGAGGAATGGAAACGAGAAGCAGGGTTCAGGTGGCAGAAAACCACACCATACGTCAGCGCCCAGAACGGGAGAGCAGAGCGCATGATTAGATCCCTTCAAGAAAAAATGCGTGCAATGCTGGTTCAGAGATCGGTACCAAAGGAGCTGTGGCCCTACGCCATCATGGCCGCAGGGCACACACTGAACTTGACACCCTCCACCGAAGCAAATAGGGTTCCATACGAGGACTTCTATCGCAAGTCTGCGCATGGTTTGGCCAAGCAGCTGCGTGTCTTCGGTTGCCTCGCTTGGGTCCACCTCCCCAGGAAAGATCACGCAGGAAAGCACGGCGTAAGAGCAATCCCAGGAATCATGGTCGGATACGATGACGAGCACAAGGGATGGAAATTCTTCACCCCCGGCCACTCCCCATCCATACGGTGGAGCAACTCAGCCACATTCCACGAAGCCAAAGGTTGGCATGATCGCCCCAGCGTGCAGAGCCCACTGCAGTTCGGGTTCGAGAGCCTCGAAGCAGAAGGCACTAGACCCGAGGCAGATAGTGACAAGCCCGAACTGGAGGTGGAAGTACTCGACATGGAGGATCCACTCCCCGAGCCACACACTGCACCGCCCACCGACCCTACCGACGACAACAGGTCGGAGCTCGATGTCGAAGAGATGATTGGAGAAGCACATACAGCCGCCTTGAACCTCACGCCGACCTTAAAGGAAGCACTTGCCGGTGATGATGCGCAACAATGGCAGGAAGCCATACGCAAGGAGCTAGATGGACTCGAGGCAATGGGAACATGGGAGATAGTGGATGTTCCACCAAACACTAGACTGGTCGACTCCAAAATAGTCCTTCGGCTAAAATTGGATGCCGACGGCATACCCGTCCGGCACAAAGCAAGACTCGTCGCACGGGGCTTCACACAGCGGGAGGGTATTGACTTTGAAGAGACCTTCGCGCCTGTGGCACCACTCAGCGCAATAAGAGCCCTGTTATCCTTGGCAGTAGAGCGCAACTGGGAAGTCCATCAGCTCGACATCACAATGGCTTACCTTAACTCCACGCTCAACCACGTGATCTACATGAAACCACCGGAAGGCGCCAAGGTGCCGACGGGGAAAGCCTACCGAGTCATCAAGGGACTATATGGTCTTAAACAGTCGGGACGGGAGTGGAACATGGAATTTGATAAGTTCCTGCGACGTTCAAACTTCCACAGGCTCGACTGCGCACCATGCATCTACACCAGAGGAGAAGGGGATAACTTCGCAATAGTGGTCATCTATGTCGATGACACGTTAATTATAGCCCCAACCCTAGAAACAGTAAGGCGCATCAAGGAGGAAATAGGCCAAAAATGGCGGATGGAGGATGGCGGCAACGTCTCCCACTTCCTCGGGATCAAAATCACCAGGAATCGAGAAGCAAAAACCATGGATCTCGAGCAAACCAGCTATGTCAAGCAGCTTCTGGATGAACACCTGGACAAGCGCAGGAGGAAATCTAGCGTCCCACTCCAAGATATCCCAGTCCCAGAGACGGCAGCAAGCATGGCAGAGCGAAAGGAATACCCACAGATCGTTGGCAAACTTCTGTGGCTGTCAAATGGAACACGTCCGGACATCAGCCAAGCCGTCGGCGTGCTTGCACGCTACATGACACAGCCGTCAAAGGAGCATTACAACGCTGCACAAAAGGTACTCCAATATTTGGACCACACACGTGACACCCACTTGCAATATGGCAGCGACAAGCAACAAGATTTCCTGACAGCGCACAGCGATGCAAACTGGGCAAGCGATGCCACAGCACAACGCAAGAGCTCATCTGGCTCAGCGGTGTTCGTGTGCGGCAACCTGGTAGCATGGAAGTCAGCTCTTCAGCGCTGCACCGCCCTATCGGCAGTGGAAGCAGAATTCGTAGCCGCGACAGAAGCCGCACGAGAGATCCTGTTCTTCAAACACCTCTTCAAGACCGTAGGCATTGACGTCGGTATCCCCACAATCTTTTCGGACAACACTGGCACTATTCAGGTTAGCAAGGATCCCGCGCAACACTGGAAGTTAAAGCACATCGATACCAAGTACCATTTCATCAGAGATAACGTGCAAGACGGAAAGGTCAAGATCAAGTACATCAACACTGCAGACAACTTAGCAGACCTCTTTACCAAGCCGGTGGGAAAGACCACGTTACAGCGCGCGCGACAGGGATTGGGACTGAAGGCCAAGCATGATGCAGTGGATCGGCAGCCTCCTGCCTTACCACTGAGGGAGGCAGTTGAGGAAGTTGAAGCCGCACAAAGCGTGGAGACAGCATGAGGGTAGTGCTTACGGCCGAGTAGAAGGACTAAAATGTGTCACAACCTACTCAAGGCAAATGCTTTGTTATGCTCCGCAGTTAATGCGGCTCTCCGCCGCTCTCCTTTTGTATATATATAGACTCCTCGCTCTCTCGCTCTCTGTCTCTTACCACCATCATCATCGTTCAATACCATACTCCTCAACTGAGCACCAGGCACCCCCCACGTTCTTTAGTCGATTGAGTATACACGTTTCTGTCCTAAAACAGCAGTGACATCGTGCTCCGACCCCACCGATCGCCAGTCATCGGGACCCGTGCGATCCACTTTTTCTCAGTTACAAGGCAACCGAATCCAGTTGCGCGCAGTGAGCCTCCCACGACCACCACAACCATAACTTGGATGCCTCGATCGGTTGGTGCGGTTTGATCTCGAATGCACACAGAAGCCCAAGAGGGTACAACATTCTCATCGTGTGTCCGATCGTAAGGTCGAGGAAAACATATATACACAATAGATCCACGTCTCCTTCTCTATGCCTCCCCATCAAATAAACCTCACCCCATTCCCCCTTGGAGATATAAAATGCGAATGCGTTTCGCCACCATCCTCATCGCCGCAATGGCTACAGCTACCACCCTCACCCCAGCCCCCGCTGCTGCTGCTCCACCTGGTTCAGCAGCTGCAGGGGCATGCTCTGATCTAACCCGCACCCTTACCTCTTGCTCCCTTATCCTCCTTACCCCCACCACCAACGCCACCTCTTACTCCGACGCAAAACAAGGCGGCTACAACCCCCTAAACAACAAACTTTCACCGACATGCATCATCCAGCCCACCACCACTTCTGATGTAGCCTCTGCCATGAAGGCTATCTATCGCAACAATGCGCACTATGCGGTTCGAGCCGGTGGTCATACTGGTATGGCTGGTTGGGACAGCGTCCAAGGTGGAGTTCTGATCGACTTTAGCAACATGCGAAACTACGAATACAGCAAAGAGAGGCAAAGTGTGACAGTACAGCCGGGATTGAGGTGGGGAGAGGTGAATGAAATGAGCGAGCCTTTTGGTGTAGCACCGATGGGTGGCAGGGTGTATCATGTGGGGACAGGCTTGATTTTGGGAGGTGGGCTGAGTTTGTTGTCTCCGCAATATGGGTATGCTTGTGATGGACTTCTCTCTGCGGAGGTAGTGATGGTTGATGGGAGCGTTAAGAAGGTGGATGCGAAATCTGATCCAGAGTTGTTGCGTGCCATTAAGGGTGGTGGAGCGAGGTTTGGGATTGTGACCAAGTACGAGTTGAAAGCGTTCCCTACTGGAACGAAGGATGAAAAGAACTGGTACGGTGGTAGTATCACCGCTCTTACCCCGACTGGAATCGTAGAGATGATTCAGGCTACCGAACAGTTCACCCTCACTCCTGACGATCCTAAAGCTACAGTCCTCACCAATCTCGGAATGCTCAAACAGCAGGGCCTCCCACTGTACCTCGGAAACACATTCCTCTTCTACCGTGGCACTCAATCAGAGTTCGAGGCAGCGTTCAAAGACTTCCTCTCCATCCCCGGCCTCATCCCAGACCTCAAACCCCTATCCTACGTTGAAGCAGCCAACACAATCCCTCTTGGATGGAAAGATACGCAGGCATACAAATGGATTGGTGGTTCTCTCTACCCCCAGCCCTCTTCCACCCTCCCATCCCCGGTCTCATCCCTCCCCATCATCGGACAACTCCTGAACAACACCCTCCCCAACCCCTTCCTCCCCACTAGCTGGCTCACCACCTGGGCAAACGCCCTTACCCTTATCACCAAACACGAACCCATCCTCGCGTCCAGTTTCTGGTCCTTGACCCCAGTCAAAACTACCCAGATCAACGCAGGATATGCCAATGGAGGAAACGCCCTTTCCCCTCCTCCCCAGGGTGGGAGCTATATGCATTATTTGTTCAGCCAAATTTTGGCCGAAGGTACGGATAGCTTCCCAGCGGACTTCGAAGCGGATAGGCAGAGGTGGATCAAGGATAATCCGAGTAGTAAAGGTCTACCGCTGTTTCTGAACGAGGTCGATGTGGAACAGAAGACGTTGCAGAGTTACGGTTGGTATGAACAGCTCAAGAAGGTGTATAAGAAAGTTGATCCTAAAGGGTTCAGTGTTAAGCATCAGGCCGGACCCACTTTCTAACTCTGGCGAGAGCTTGTTGTGTAGTAATGAAAGAATGCTTGTTATGTTATACAAATGTGTGCTTTGAGAAGGGGGTTCATGAGATGGTGCCAAGTACAAGATCGACAAATGAATCTTTTGCATCGGCAGTGGTATTGTGGCGGCGATAGAGGGTGAATGCTCCTCGGATGATGTCTTGTATTGCTTTTTCTTGCTCCGTCCGTGTTGCGGGGTCTAGGATGGTTGTGGTTGAGTTTCGGATAACCACACCGTTGGATCCAGCAACAGTCCCTATCTTATCCTCCTCATCTGCTTCTGCTTCATCTTCGTCCGAGAAACCGGCCCAAAAATCATTCGCATCAATAATGTACTCTGCTCCCCCCTCCTCCCCTTCCTCTCCTTCCTGCTCTTGCTCTGGATCTGTCGAAATAGCCCTCTGCTTGCCCTTTCCCGTCCCCTTCCCCCTCGCCCGCATACACCCCTCCGTCCACTCATGCAACCCTTCTCTAGCCTCATCCCACTCTTCCACTCTGAAAAGGTTATCCAATTTCACCCTCACCCCGTCCTTCCCCTCGTCGCCATCTAGGACTAGCATCAAACATAGCCACCCTAAATTACCACCACATCTCTTGTTCGGAAACCTAACAACTACTCTGCCCGCTCCTTCCCCCGTTCCATGCCAATCTTGCTTACACCAAATCCCAAAATCCTCCACCTTCACCGGATCCTCCTCGCCGCGCAACGCAACTTGCATTGCCGTCATGCGCTCGAAGAAAAAGGCCACACTCGTCCGGTTAACATCTACACTGCTCGCATTCGGTACAAGCTCTACGGGGGGTCTGGAGAGATAGGAGGTAAAAGCGTGCTGGGAAGCAATCCTTTCGTCATGGGTTGCAGAGAGGTAAGCAGGAGAGGGAAAGCCGCCGGATAAAACGGATCTTTCGACTAAGTCGTATGCCAAGGGTGGGATCGAGGGGAGGGATAACATTTGATGTCGCATGCGGAGGTCTGACGAGAGTTGGGCGGGAGTGAGGGTGGGGGGAGTGCTGATTAGGAGCGAGAATAGAAGCTGACGGAGGGATGTGAGGATCGAAGCGGCTGAGGTGTTGGAGGTGGTGGTGGTGTGAGCGGGGTGAGGATGGTCTTGTTGCATCGGCGAGGTCGATGGAGCGGGGATGTAGATTCGTGGAGATGATGGTGGAGGTTGTTGAGTAGATTGAGGCTGAGGTTGCGGGGCTTTGATTGCCTCGGGAGGGTCTAGCTTTGACCTTGGGAGCTGAATTCTTGGCATTGTTGAGAACCTACAAGTGAGTATCGAGGGAGGTGGAGGATGATGATGACGAGCAAGAAGAAGAATGGCGCCAAAAACAAGAGTTGGTGATATAGTGTCGGGTCTCGGACACTGACTTGAATGCATTCGCGATCAGGCATGTGACCGATACAAGCGTCCCCCAGCGGGAGCGCATCTTAGTGCACACTCGCTCAACATCTCTCTTCCTTTACGACCATCATCTCTCTCTCCGCGCTTTTTGTCTCATCCACCACACCCACCCACTTCTTTGTTACTTTGTTCTCACGCGCGGTCCGCCTCGCTCTCACACGACGCTCGACCATCTGTGGCCCTTACGGTCACGACTGGGAGCTCGCAAGCGACTCACCCGAGTTAGGCAATCAATTCTCTTTCCCATCTCTGACATCGTGTATCAGTTAAGTGACCAGCGAAGACGTTGATATCAACACGTCAAAGAAAAAGAAGAAAAAGACCGATTTCTTCGCGGCTTATTCGCCGAAAACAACTTGCTGAGTTGCCTGCGGTGTGTCACTTTTGACTCCACACCATCATCACCGCCGTATCTTCGCTCTATCAGCTCTTACAACTCAACGTGCAGCTCAGCACCGCCTATTCAACAGGTTCCCCTCGGTTCTAAATTCGAGAATGTTTGGCTAGACGATGTCTCAAGACACCACGGAACAAGAACCGCCCCATGGCTCCGACCGGCGGCGGAGAAGACCAACTCCCCCAACTTCACTCCCAGACCATTTCACACGCAAAGGCTACCTCAGCGTCTCCGATCTGGTCGGTCCCTCCTGGTGCGAGTACAGCTATCAATACGGTATCCTTTCCCTTTCCCATCTTCCACCCTCTCAACGACCCGCTACCATCACCACCACCGAGGGCACAACACTCGCCGCACAACCTGAATTAGTCCAACAGAAGGATAAAACCCTCACCGCCGGAAAAGCTGTTCATGCAGTGCTCGAGAAAGAGGCTGCACCAGTACAGATATATGTTGAGACAGAGACTAGAGAGGATAGTTGGGCGTTGAGGTTGTTGAATCTTTGGTGCGATGTGGTGGGGTTGTTGAGGTTAGAACCGGGCAGCGAAGGGAAGCGAAGAGGGGGAATGGGGGTGAATTGTGTGAGGGAAGTGCCGGTGTACGGTTGGATAAAGGGGGTGCTTGTTATGGGGGTGATTGATGAGATCGAGAAGAGGAGGGTTGATGTTGGAGATGGTGGCAAGAAGGAGAAGAGAGTTTGGGCGAGTCAAGAGCAATGGAAGAAGGATCAATTGCGTAAAGCCGCCAGCACAAGCCCAAAGAAGGGCGGTGGTGCAGATGCAAAGAAGAACGCTACAAAGCCGTTGACCGCATTCTTTGGTTCTTCCCAACCACAACCAGAACAACCGAGCAACACCACCGAGGAAGAACATCCGAAGCAAGGCTGGGGCTACTTCTTATCAGATACCAAAACAAGGATCTCATCCTGGCTTCCCGCAGAAGAAGATCAATTTAGCGCTCGGATGCAGTGCATGACGTACAAGCGGCTGTTTGATGGGTTGTGTTTCGGTGCGATTTCCTCTTCCCCCACCTCTACTATCTCCGCCTCGGTAAGCGCGAGTACGAGCACCTTTCATCGGAACACAACCCCGATGGATTGGCGGGCAACGTTCGGCTCTCTCGATCTTGACCCGCATCGGCCGCTATCAAGTGTCTTTCTACGTGATGCAATACCGTTGTGTGGTAGCTGGGGTACGGATTTAGCTCTTTGGATAGCGGAAAGGGATGCAGATGTGTGCACGCTAGATCACATCAGGTTACTATTGGAGAGCGGGTTGAGGGAGTTGGTTGCTGATGCGCGGCGAAGACAGTGCTTGGGGGAAGGAGAGGGAGCGGGTGTGATTCAGGATAGTTTGGCGTTGACTTATCGTAGACAATCTCAGAGAAGGAGGCGGAAGAGGAAAAAAGCTGTTTCCACCACAAACTCAGTTGGAGAAGGGCAGGCGGATGGGTTACGGCAAAAAATACTACCAACCACCTCTATGGAAGAAACGGCAGAAGAGGTAGAGGCTGCGGTTGAGCCAGCACCACCACCAGAACAAGAAGCTCGAAAATCAATCGACGCTATAGAAGGACATCACGATGCCTCCGCCGCAATCGAGCAAGCTTTATCTGCTCCTCCCTGTACACCTAAGAAGCCTTCCCTCTCTCAAACCTCCCAAGAATCACCCACCTCTCCTACTTCTCCCCCGCCAGGAGAGGAGGGAAAGGGGGAGGAGAAGACGAACATCATCGGCTTAGTCACATTTCCCTACGACCCCCAAACACTCGACGACTATCTAAGCAAGATGATAGCGATGTGGAAAGGCGAGCGTTCGCTGGTGGGTGTGAGTGTAGACCAAACGAAAAGATGTTGGACTTGTGAATGGATGGATGGTTGTGAATGGCGCACATCTCAGTCTTTGCAACATCAGAATGCGGCTCAGCAAAAAGCTTTGGCTCGGATACAGCTCACCCCTGCACCCGCTGCTAAGCTAAGCGAAGCCGGCGAATACGCAACACTAAAGGCTGTGTCAGGTGAAGAAGAGAAGGAGGGAGAGGAAGAATTCTGGTCAAATCTCGATCTTGATTCGATCACGGTCAAAGATTCGGCTGGGAATGTACTTGATTGGTGATTGAGTGTATTTGTATTGAACAAGGTTATATTTCGCTGTGAGGCGACTGTGTGAGGTGTGCTAAGGTGTGCGAGAAGAGGAGAGGATGGGTATAGCAGGATCCCAAGGTCCCAAGATCTCCATCTTCCAGCCCTGGGCGTATTTGATCCAGTATGGACAGACGACCGATACGAATCCCACGACAAGATTCGTCCATGCTACTACTACCACTACCCACCGCTTTTCGCCAACCTTTAAAAATAAGAAGGATGCTGTTGTAGCCATCGTTACCAGATACAACAAGGAGAACCTCCCAACCCCTCCCCACGACCCCTTTGGCGCAGAAGAGGAGTTTGTGGGGGCGAAAAGCACGATAGCCAGCGTCAAAAGAGTAAACGTCTCCGTGTTCGAGTTCAACCGAGAAGCAAGCACAACAGAAGCGGAAATAGCAGCGTTGAACGAGAGCGTATCTGACAACTTTCTTCCACCTTGTTGAGGTGAAGGAGAAGTGTAGTCAGCCAATGCGAGGTGCAGAAAGAATAGGACTGTGGATAAAGCCCATATGCTATCTGAGGTGGTTGATTCGGTGAGCGTTCGGAGGACCGGCGAGACTGCAAGAAGGACGAGGCCCATGATGAGTTTGGTTAGGGCTGTGCTGACTGTTTTGCTCCTTCCTCCTCTTCCCTCTCTGTCTTCATTCTTCCCTTTCTCCAGCAGGGAGGAAAGCAGAGCGGAAAGCAGCGAAACGCTGAGAATAACCAGCAACAACATTTCCGAATCCAGCGTTCCTAGATGCAGATGCACAAACAGCAACGCGAATAGCACTACGCTTAAGAACCTTGCTGAAAGCCGCAACGATGCTATCATTAGCTCTCCGAGGCTCGGGAGGATGATTTGAGAGTTGGTCCGAAGATCAGCAAGGAATGACGCCGGCACATGGTTGTCCGGAAACGGCTGTTTGCGCCAGAGCACTTTTTCGAATTCCACCTCTGCATTCTTCGCCTTGCCTACTTTGGTCGACATCTTGAGGAGCAAGTTATCGTCCGCCACCAGAGATGCCAGCTTTCCCACCACGCTTCCTAGCAAACACTACTTTATCCTGATCTTTCTTCCCTCCACTCCTCGCTTGCTTTGCCGAAGATGGACTTGATTGTCTCTGTTGCTTACGCGCACCTTGAAGCGTACCAGGTTTGACGAAACCTTTAAGCTCGTCTGCTTCGGAAGAGTTGGAAGCTGAATCAAAGTCCGGTTCTATTCCTTCTCCTTCGTCTGTCCTCGATCTCTTCTTCGATGAACCTGGCTCTGTGTCGTCTGGATCTTCTTCTTTGTTCTTGCCGAGTTTGCCAAAGGTCTGCCTACTATTCCCTTTCCCAGCGGCCGAAGCAGGTTGATCACGAGTAATGAGCCAAGCGTCAAACCCAGCCTGCTGGGAGATTTCTGGCCCCGTAGTCTCTTTCTTCTTCTCCTTACTTCCAGTTGCTTTTGCACGAAGCCTCGCTATCGCAGCAGGAGACAAACTCCACTGTTCCTCTATTGCCCCTTCAGTGGCGCCAAATGGCGCTGATGATCCCGATGCAGAAGCGGCTAGGGAAGGAGAAGCGAGAGGTGTATGTGACGTAGAAGCTGCCGTGTTGGATGCGGTGGAATTTGAGGCTTTAGTAGGGGTGGAAGAGGGAGAAGCACGTTGCATAAACTTCAACGCATTGACACGGCCACTCAAGCTAGTCACTGTGGCTGATCTACCTGGCGGTGCAGAAACCATGATCCCCCTTTTCCTTCTTCTGGCGGGTGTAGTTGATGGTGGTAAGAAGGTCGCACTCGGAAGGGTGGTGGGGGGAGGAAATCTTCAGTTTTGTTTATCGGATTTCGGCTCTCGGATTTCGGCTCTTATTCACACTTCTCAGAAAAGTCACCAAAAGAAAAACAAATGCAGAAAAACTGTGGTACTAGAATTCATCATCATCATCATCATCATCATCACCGATAAACCCATCATTCTCACCAGGATTCGCCCTCTGAACTCTTGTCGGATTGACCAACGACAGTGTTCTTTGCGAGCCTCCAACTTTTCTATTGTCGCCTGAGATACTAGCTAGATCCTCGGAGCTAGGCCCTACGCCGGAACTACTACTCGCTACGCCGGAACTACTACTCGCTACACCACCTCTACTTCTTGATCCTGACGAGGGCGAAGAAGAAATCATTTGCGATTGCGTCCGTTGTGAGACACTGGGTAAGCTAGGACCTAGACCTACGACGGTTCTGCGCCCCGTGCGCGAGTTGACGGCGGAAGGAGCGGCTAGGAGTGATCGATACTTGTGTCGTTCTTCTCGGAGGGCTTGTTGGGTGCTTTCTAGTTTACGTCGCAATTGGTGGGTTTCGAACGCTGAGCTGCTAAATGAGGCGATAGCAGCGGAAGGAAAGGAGAGGGAAGAGGTAAGGATGAGCTTTGTGCTGATGTCCAAAGCAGCTGCTTGGGAAAGTCGGTGTAGCTTGAGCTCAACAGGATCGGATTCGGGGTTGAGGAAAAGTTTGACGGCGCCCCAGGAAGAGGGGTCTTTGGTGCGAATACCGCCAAAGAGGATGCTTTTGCGATCATAGGCGGATGTGATGCGCTCGGTGAAGGATTTGATGTCGCTTCGAGTGGGATAAGGAGCTTTGCTCGTCGATACGCTGGGATGGCCAAGTAGATCCTGGAGAGCCTGAGTGTCAAGTGAGGTGCTCCACCAGCCTTTCTCGCAGCCTACCGTAACGGTCCATGTTCCTGTAATACTTGCTACTGTCTCGCCATTGGTATCGTCATGGTATGTCTTGTGGGACGATAAGATGGATTCTTCTTCCTCATCGTCCTCGTCATTCGCCGGACTGGATTCCCTTCTCGCATCGCCTGATCCTGGTGTTTCGTACACTGAGGCTACGACAAAGCGTGGTATCACGGCTTCATCTGTCTGTATGATGGCGGTCAAGCCATCAAGCATGCGGAACGGCTCGTTCATCCTTCCATACGACAGTAAGGACGTCTTCCGGCGGGTGTGAATCATTGTTGTTCCGTGGTGGTGTGCGCAGCCGCGCCAACAGACAGCTGCTTAGTCACGGCCCTGTGGAGCGCTTCAAGGCTGGAGTTCCAGTTTGACTGCCAGAGAATGGGCCGTCGAAGGAGCCAAGTGATGATGAGGATGTGACAGTCAAGGACAAAGTGTTACCGAAGCGGAAATGAGCATGAGGATAAACACCGTCAAGACCAACACTTCCGAGTTCCGAATCCTTATTTCTTCCGAAAGATTAGCTCCATGCCCTCCTCACCTTCCATCTTATCACGACCAACCTCAATGCCGCATCTCATCTTCTCACGGTTCATCCATATTGATCCATCACCCTCACTTTAAGCCGCTACGATGTCAATCGACAGCCACGATTACGCCTTCGAATATCAGATGCAGGAGTTTCTGCTCGACCGTGCCGACGTGTTTGTCAAGTCCAAGCTAGCGTGCTTCAATCGTTGCAATGCATGTGGCTGGCATTTTGTGTAGTGTTGCACCAATATTCATAACCTTGAAACTGTTGGAACGTAAGAAGATTGGCAAGGTCGATCTCGAAGCGACACTTGCCGAAATGAGAAGATGATGGTGGCAAGGTGGGAAAGGAGTAAGGAGCAAACAAAGCCAATTGAGTGGGTTGCGACGCGTGTTGGTCCAGCTCAGATGCGCATGCCTCGTCACGTGCATCAACCTTGAAACTGTTAGAGCGTAACGTGACCCCAACCAAAACTCGGAAATTAGAGCTGAGCTGAACTGAACTGAATGGGCACATGTTGTCAAAGCTCAGGTTGGATTCATCAACATCACCATAACCACCACCACAACACAGTATCTCTTGCCACAGCTTTATGTCTACACAATATCGGCTAGCATTTAGTGTGCTTGGGCTTCACCGTTCCATCATGTCGTCTTCACCACCCTCGCATCTGCCAAGCTCCAGCAGCAGCATGTAAGCGATCGCATGCCTAAAACCTGAGTTTGACAATCCTGGTTGATCTCGGTGAGATCTAGTTGAAGATGTGTCGGCATCTCAAGAAGAATGCATGAGCTATAGCCGAGACACCAAGGGACCAAATGCATGCATAAGCAATGAACACAATAAAGCACATGAAGGTTGCCATAGCAATGGCTCAGGGGCATCGCAGAAAGCAGCAACTTAGGGGGTTACAGAAGAGGTGACTCATCTGGCTCAGACATGATCAAGGGTAGCAATAGAGTATAAATATGTGCTTGTCATTAAGATTCAGACTATAGAAATATTAAGCATTACAAGAAGACATATGACTGTGGTAAGGGAGCCTGATTGTGACCCCATTAACGGCATATACTAATTGTTATCTTCAATTGATCTATTGAGTAAGCTCTTTCCAAAGTGCTTTTGTGAGAAGAACCAGAAGGCTTGACTCTGGTAGGTTTCAGCTGACTGCTTTGAACACTCGATCTGATCAGAGATTCGGCAGGGCCGATCTGACAAGGGATCGGGTGCAACACAGTCCTGCTCATTGTCATGGTAAATCATTAAGTAGGGGTACTCCCACCTTTGGGAAGTGCCACACCAATGTATATACAGCATGCACATAAACTGTCCCATAATTTTACATGTCACCATACATCACTCTAATGCTCAATAGCTATAAGTTGTATTGCCACACTGTCTGATATTGTCTGAAAGCCCTGCTTCTTCTCTCCAAGACTGTGGAATTGATATTGACATTGACTAAAAAATTGTGCTATGAAGAAGAGCCAATTTATTTTTTTATTGTGGAACAGTTTATGGAGTGCTCCTCGAGAACACCTTAGTACTTTGTATTCCCTCCTTTGGCCTTCAGAACTGCCTTGATGCAGTCTGGCATACTCTCTATTAGCATCCTACATGTCTCTGGAGTGATTGCTGTCCATTCAGCTTCACATCTCTTGAGCAGTTCATCCCTGGACTTTGCAATTGTACTATACCATGAAAGTCACATTTTGAGATGGTGCCAGAGGTGTTCAATTGGGTTTAAGTCTGGCAACTGCTCCGGCCATTGCATAACCTTAATGTTATTGCCTTCCAACCACATTTTTGTCTTCTTCAACATGTGTTTTGGGTCATTGTCTTGCTGAAACATGATGTCAGTGTATGCATGCTGAAGCTGCAAATCTGAGATTGTTTTCAAAAGCTTGTCAATCAAGATATCAATGTATTGGTCTGAATTCATTGATCCCAGCACCAAGCATATACCTCCAACCCCTTCCCACATCATACAGCCCCAGATCATGATGGAGCTGCTGCCAAACTTGACCATTGGCCTGACAAGCTTGCTGTTGAAGCCAGCATTCTTAATCCAACAGAACTGCTTACCATCCAGTCCAAAGAAGTTGATCTTCATCTCATTGGACCATACCACATTCTTCCAATCCTCAACAGTCATGTCCTTGTGCTCATTAGCAAATTTGCAATGGGCTTTGTAATGTCTCTTGAGTAGCTTCAGTTTTTTCACTAACCTTTGTGCTTTGTAATGACAGTAATGAAGTGCTTTTCTTACTGTTGTTGTGCATGTTTTGACTTGAAATGTCTCCTGCAGTGCATGACATGCTTTCCTGACCATGGACATTGAATTGAGCTCAAAATAGTGGTCCAGGAAGCAAACATGACAAGGCTGGAGTTTTCTCAGCTGGGCCCCCTTTGACTTTGGAACATCAGCAGAGGTGCTTTTGCTGATGTGATTCACTGTAGACTTGCTCATACCAAGTTGGTCTGCAACTGAATGGATAGATTCCCCATTTTGGATGTGAAAGAGTGCCAATCAGCACCTCTCTGGGGTGGTTTTTGGCATGATGGTATAGATATGATGGTGTCAGACTGGAAGTGCTGCCAGATCACTTGCAGTCATCTGATTGAGCTGAAACTTTCCATGTCACTACTTTTGATGTATATGAAGGCTCCCACCAAGTTACATTGCAAGTTTCATTGTAGTCAACAGCCCACAAGGTCAGGAATGGAGCAGTGTCACTATTTGGGAGCATGCTCCATAAACTGTCCCACAATAAAAAAAAATTTGGCTCTTCTTCATAGCACAATTTTTTTAGTCCATGTCAATATCAATTCCACAGTCTTGGAGAGAAGAAGCAGGGCTTTCAGACAATATCAGACAGTGTGGCAATACAACTTATAGCTATTGAGCATTAGAGTGATGTATGGTGACATGTAAAATTATGGGACAGTTTACATGCATGCTGTATATAAAGCAGAGAGCACTAGGCTCTCACCACATTCTTGTAGTCCATTGAGTATACATGTTTCTGCCCTAAAGAAGTAGTGACATCGTGCTCAGACTCTCCCCGATCGCCAGTTATCGGGACCAAAACTTCTTCACTTATATCATTATGATCCCTTTTACTAGCCCATCCTTCTCCCCCCTCTAGTAGGCATATTCGAAATAAGGATTCTCCCAATCAGTCCAATCCTCCAATATCGCCTTTTTCTTGATCTCCTCTACCTCCTGCTTACTCTTTCCCTCGCTTTGCCTTCTCTGCCTCCTTGTCTTATTCTGCCACCATAAGCCTGCATCCAGTATAAGCGTCAAGGCGATCGTAATGGCCATACAGGTAATGATCGCAAGAAATGTAGTCCTGTAATGAATCGGTGCCTCGCTCGCCAGTGTCAAATACGGTGCGACAATATTGCCCACATTATAGCCAGCAAAAACGATGGCTGAAGTTATGCTCTGCTTTGTTGCACCCGCCACGTTTGCTGTGCTTAGACTTAGCATCAGAACGAATGGTGCTCCGAAGATGGGTAGGAGATAGTAGCCAGCGAGAGGGATAGCTCGGTTTGTCCAGTCTCCTTTGCAAACCATTGCTGCTCCCACTATCACCGGCAAACAGGTGAGAATGAGTAAGACGGACCGGGTGTTTCGGGTCTTAAGAACGATGAGAGTGGAAATATAGATCGAAACGCAAGTTGTAGCTCCACCAGGAGTTTGCAGGATAATGGAACGAAGAGAGGTATAGCCGAAAGACTTGATGATGTAAGCACCGAAAGCGGTAACTCCACCGTTGCAAATGTAAATGGAGATGGCTTGGAGGAAGAATATGTATAGTTTGTAGTCGAGGAATGCTTCTTTGACTTGCGAGATGTTCCAATGTTCTCGGATACCGGAGGTGGAGGCGGAGATGTTGAGCGATGCTAAATTATCCTTCAACCCCGCTGTGGGTAGGGGTGCTGATGGTGGTTCGTGGTGGCAAGAATCGTCTTGGAGGGGATCTGCTTTGTGTTGGTCGTCAACAGAAGAAGCTCTTGCAGTGGTGGACTGGTCATCATCTTCTGCTTCGCCTGTGATATTGGATCGCAGTCGTCCGACAGCAAGACTTTTCTCTTCAGGTGAGAACTTGTTGTACCCCGGGATCCTAAGCAAAGCGTCACCTACGGGAGATGAGGGTAGCAACAACAACATCACGCCACCAAACAGAATCGTCAATGACCCAGCAAAGAGGAACATATATTTCCAAGCATGCAACTTTGCTCCCGCTTTGCTCCCGGCCTTTCCTAACCCATAATTCACCAACCCGGAAAAAATGGAAAACAAGCCTGTGGCACTATACCATATCCCCAACCTCAACGGTTGTTCGGATCTCTTGTACCAGCTTCTCGTAAGTAGAATAAAGCCAGGCGAGACGGCACTTTCAATACTCCCGAGGAAGAAGCGCTGAGCTATCAATCCTCGCCAACTACCAATCGCAGGAGTCAAAATCACAATAACACCCCAAAGAATAATCGCACAACCCAAGAAAAGATTCGGTCGGAATCGTTGAACGAGCAAGGCCATGGGCAAGGCAGCTACGAGGTAGCCCCAGTAGAAAGCGGAGGTGGCGGTGGAGTATCGTTGCAACGAGGTCTTGCGTGGGGGCCCTGGGTCGACGACGGAGAGGTCGAGGTCGGTCAGGATTCCGAAGATGGACGCGGAGCCGAGGATGGCTTTGTCATAAAATTGCAGACCGTAGGCGAAGGTCATTAGGGGCATGAGGAGGAGGTCTATTTTCCATAAGAGACGGCGCTCGGAAACGGCGGTGGTGGACGCCATCGTGCGCAACTCGATGAGCGGATGGGGATGTGATGGTGAGGCGAGAAGATGGGAAGGCCACACATCAGTAAGCTTTCAGGTATCGCGGCGAAGAAGAGTTCGGTGACACGCGGGGTAAGCGCAACTCGATCCATCATCCAGACGATCTTGTTCGCTTCTAGCATTTCATGCCGCCGAGTCACGACGACAGAGGCCAAGTTTTCTTTGGGTGAAGAACAACATCGGCCAGCAAATGGTGCAACAAATGTCCGTTTGAGCAGCCGTCAACATCACCGGCAAACCTTTGTACTCGCAGTACACGGGCAAGAACGGAGCTTTCCGTCAAGATTCCGGATTTCTTCGGTGTTATGCGCTGACCGGTATGAGATCTTTTGGCACACGACAAATAGATAAGCGATAATCGGACCGTTTTTGTGTTGCCTTGTTCAAGACCTTCGTCACTTGCGACCTCTGTCGGTCTCTTATTTGCGAGAGTTTGCGCCATCTATCCTTGCTAGATGGAGGGAAAGGGGAAAGCTTTTCGAGAGATCAACTTTCCAAAAGTTGGAAAAGTGTGACACATGACGGCGTAACATAGCGTTGAATCCCGACAAGTGGAGTAAAAGCGCATCTTCGAGTCAGCCGAGCCTTGTTGGACTTGTGGTTCCCCAGAGATGAGCTGTTCAACAAGGGTTTCGCTGAACCACATCAATCTTTCACACAACCACCAGAAGGCGAAGGTGTTACCATGGCAGCACCAATACGAAGCTCTCTGCCGAGCAGAAGCCTAGCTGCTGCCACAGAACTAGCAACAGACACACGGCCTTTGTTGCAACACATCCCTCGCACGGCCATTCCTGGCACCTCTCGACACCTCCAAACCACCACTCGACCAACTCTTCGCACTCATAACCGCAGGCCAGTTCTGCTCTTACCTTTCGGTGCAGGCCATAGACTCTTCTCAACGACGACTCTCTGCCTTGGAGCAGCAGAAAAACAAGCCTGCCACCATTCATCTCGTCCAATCCTCTCCTCACTCCCCGACAAAGTCGACGTAAATGTAGGCCCCGCCGGTCGCCTCTCCAAAGTAATGCAACCTCGTCGAGGATGCAAAATCACAACCCGCGTCGGATCCAGCTATGCCGGTACACACACTTTCTCCTGGATCTCTCCCCCCTCTAATGTCCTTATCGTCAAAAAAGCTCGTGATACACGCGCAACAAAAGCTATGTCCCGCATCATCTCCCACATTCGACAAAGCTATCCTTCGCTCAACATCATCCTGGAACGCTCTGTCATCGATTCCAACGATGGTCACCTCGCTTCAACCTATCCGGAACTCATAGCGGCGGATCCGAGCGAGAAGGAATTGCTAGCGCAAAAGACGGATTTTGTGATCACGTTGGGCGGGGATGGATCGATATTACATGTCTCGAGTCTGTTCGATAGAGATGCAGTTCCACCAGTCCTAAGTTTCTCGATGGGAACGTTGGGGTTCTTGCTTCCCTACGATATCAGTTCGTACAGAGAGGCGGTGAAGGATACGGTAGAGGGGAACATAAGCTTGTTGCTCAGGATGAGGTTGAGACAGACGAGTCATAGGGCTGGAGGGGAGGCCTTTTGTCAAATCCAAGACAAGATGGAAGGTGGTGGATGCTACGATGTTCATCTCATGAACGAAGTTACGTTGCATAGAGGCCGAGAGCCGCATATGACCAAAATCGATGCGTTTGTCGATAGACAGCATCTAACGCAAGCGATATCGGATGGATTAATCATTGCAACTCCAACAGGGTCGACGGCATATTCGCTTTCGGCGGGTGGACCGATCGTGCATCCAAGCGTACAATGTTTGGTCTTAACACCGATCTGTCCGAGGAGTTTGAGCTTTAGGACGGTCTTGTTGCCGAGTGATTCGGTTGTTCAGCTCAAAGTAAGCACTTGACCATTTCCCGCCGCCACTTGACCTTGCATCGTCGTAACTGACTCTTTTCTATCGTGGCTTGAATGGCCAATGTAGATATCGGAAGACTCGCGTTCACCAGCCGAATTAACCGTAGACGGTCGAGTGAGCAAACTCTTACAACCCGGAGAATACCTTGAGGTCTCAATGAGTCCTTTTCCTATCCCTTGTGTCAGTCGTAAGGCTTCTTCTGATCACTCGAGCTCGCCTTCGCTTACCACGAGTCCGGCGGCGGGCGGGGGGATTGGAGAAAAAATCTCGGACAGGGAGCAAGATGACTGGGTACGAGATATCAATACGTTGCTCAAGTTCAATGCTAGTTTTGGAGGCAGAGGGACGCTGAGCGGTAATGGCGGGTTTGAGGAGGAAGATTAGGCCCGAGTAAGGAAGGCAACTAGGATCTAATCGACACAGTAGCTGCGGCTGCATTGCATGAGGAGAGAGGGGGGGGGGGGGGGTTGGTTTAGGGGAGAGGGGAAGCCAATCAGATTAGATAGGCCAACTCCAGACTGTGCGTGTGTGAGGTAGAAGTGTGTGGAATGAGCCGCGGGAGTTGAGAGCCGAAGTGTGCCGAGTTCCGGAAGGGCTGTGCAGAGAGCTTGAGGTGGAGGTTTTGCAAGCTTTAATTTCGCTTCTTCTGGCGTGATCGGCATGCTTCTCACCACACACCACCATCATCCTCACCCTATTCACACCGAGTATCCGTAAAGATGGCAGCTAAAGGTAGGTGTCAGTCTCGTTGCTTCTTCTTCCAAGCCATCTGCTCTCGTTCCGACTGACCCTCTCACACCTCCGCTCTTCATGCCGGTACTGCAGGAGGCGGTAACGCGAAAAAAGAATCAGGCAAAGCCAAAAAAGCAGCCAACGAAGATAAAAAAGCCGGTCAAGCCGCTGCCCAAGCCGAAGCAGCCGAAGCAGCTCGATGGGAAGACCCGGCAGGCTCCAAAGGCAAATCCGCCGCCGAAAAGAAAGCCGAGAAAGCAGCCGAAGCAGCTCGCAAAGCCGAAGAAAAGAAACGTCTTGAAGCAGAAGACGAAGCTTGCCTCCCCACGGCTCCTGTCAAATCAGCCAACAAGGGTAAAGGTGCTCCCAAGAAGTCTGCGCTCAAATCGGGCGCTCCTACTGGTATCGATGGTGCCATCGCATCTTTCTCGGCCGACAACTTGGATGATGCACTGGATGCGATGAGTTTGGTGAACGAGAAAACGGATAAAGCAGGGAAGGGCGCAGCAGCAAGTCAGATTGAAAGACATCCAGAGAGGAGGTTCAAGGCTGCATTCGAGGCGTATAAGGAAAGAGAGTTGCCGAGGGTGAAGGAGGAACATAAAGGGCTGAGATTGCAGCAGTATCATGATTTGCTGTACAAGCAGTTTCAGAAGCATCCGGATAATCCGTTTAATCAGCTGAGTCTCGCTTATGATGCGACCAAGGAGGATAAGCTGGCTGCGCTGGAGATGAAGAGAGGGGAGAAGGAGAAGAGGTTGAGGGACAACTAAGCGTCGGAGCTTTGGATGGAGGCCAACTGCTGACAGGCTTGTTGTCCTTTGGTCGGAAACCAAGAATCTAATTGACTAGGTTGCGGATGTTCTGTGCTCGAGTGCAAGACAGATCATGTCAGAGTGTGAGCTGATGGATCAGAGCGACTATGCTGAAGATTCGCACTTGAAGATTGTTTTGGGTGTTGGAGTCGCCACCTTGAGACGCAGCCAAGGTGGGAAAAAACGCCGCACAAACCAGGCAGAATAAACCAGAATAAACTAAAAGCAGAAGAATCACGCAACAGCTCAGCCTTGTCTCTTTGATTTTTTCGCTTTTCTCCTCAGCGCTTCATCGCGAAGCAACAGTGCTTTCTTGCTCACCATCACCACCCGAAAACTCTCGTTGCCCAATATGTCAGCCCGCACTGTACCCCGAATCGCAGCTCGTACTGCACCACGCACCCTCGCGCTCACCTGGACGCTTCCTCGCTTTGCCCTCGCTTCAGCCACGAAAGGTTGCCTCCATCTTGCCCTTGCCTCAACCCTTCCCGTTCCCCGATTATTCTCTTCTACTCGCCTCGGTCTATCGAAAGACGAAACGTGGCGATCCAAAGGAGTAGTAAAATACTCTGAACTCAAACCCGAAACTTGCTCCCCTTCTGGCGAGATAACGATCATCGACGTCCGAGAAGCCAACGAAGTAGCCCAAGGAATCATCCCTTCCGCTGTCAACGTTCCCCTTTCTCAGTTTCAAAAAGCATTTACTGGTTCAGGTGGAGACTTTGTCAAAGAGTATGCTTTCAACCGACCTAAATACGACGATAAGATCATCTTCTACTGCAGATCAGGCAAGAGAAGTCAACAGGCATCAGAGTTTGCGCAGAAGCAGGGATGGTGGAATGTAAGGAATTACGAGGGGAGCTGGTTGGATTGGGTTCAACAAGAGGAGGCTCGGGGACAGGCTAGTAAGATTAAGGAGGATGAGGATTGAAGATCGGGTCGCACTATAAGAACAAGGGATGCAATCACAGTCTAAGCTTTGCAATCTATCTCAAAAGTGATCCTGTGCTGCTGTGCTGCTATGCTGCTATGTGGTCCTGTGCACAGCTGTTGCGGGCCGCTTGGCGTCGGACAGTGTAGAATGTTGTCGAGAGGCGCTTTTTGAAAAACTCGAATGGTCGCTGGGTGTGAACAGGCAAGTTGTGGGAAGAACTCTGATCGTGTAGATCTACAGCCTGCGTTTGGCCGACGGATAAATGTATGTCACTCGTTCTTCTTCACTGCGGCAGCGCAGCCACAAAACCGAGCTTAGCATGTGTTGTTACATCTGAAATTCGAGACGAGGCCATCTAGGGATGAATGTATTGCGTTGCATCCTTCTTTCTCTGCTCAAGTGCTTTTGGTATGCGCGTTCAGGCAGCGGTAGCCATCTCCCGGGCCTGCTGTCGCACTCTTCGTTCATAGGCCGTAGCATCCTTTTGAAACATGGTGAATGCTTCGCTCTGAGCGGGATCGTGTGGGTTTGGATCGTTGAGCAAGTCCTGAATGCCCAATAAGATCTGCTTGATCGTGATAGCTGGTTTCCAACCCTTATCTTCGTCGAGGATGGAAAGACAGACGGTGCCAGAGGGGAAGACGTTAGGGTGGAAGAGCGGAGGGGTGAACTTGCACTTGGGTGGTTTGGAGGGGTATTCTTCAGGGAAGATCATGCGGAGTTTGTACAGTCCGCCTTCCCATGGTGTCTGTTCAGGGCGAAGCGGTGCATGCGATAAGCAAGTGGATGGAGAGGGAGAGTGTGTCAGCGAGATCTTGAAACGAGGTCTAGAGGAGAGTGGGAAGGGGCAGATGCTTGCATTTGCCTTGCCAGGAATGCCGACTTCCCAGTTCATGAGGTCGAGAGAGCCATCAGATGCTTTGGCTGGACGTGCGTAGAACCCCTGTGCGATCCGAGATAAGAGGGGAGGTGAGCATGGAAGCAAGGGGTGGAATGTCAGCGAGAGCGTGCAAGGTAAAAAGCGAGGGCGGAAAGAGTGGTGGTGTGGAGCGTTGACGTACGAATGGATGGTCTTTGCGCCACTGCTTACGCTCTTCGGCTAGGCGGTTCCTGCAGATGCCCGCCATAATTGTTGTTGTTGATGTGTGCTAAGATAGGAGCGCAGCTAGAGGTGGAGGAGAGGTTCGAGTTTGGGCCGAGGAATACGGACAAGGGAATACAGCTGCTAGCCCGCTGGCGCGGTGATGATCGGAGCGTGGTTTGTGCTACGCTATCGAGTGCGGGTATGCAGATGCGGAACCAAGTGGAGGGCACTGATGCAATGCGGTGGAACTACGAGGCGCTGAGGGGGGAAGGGGTAGTGAGGGTCCGAACTTGACCTCCTCGAATGCGGAAGGGTGTCGAGGGAGAAGAGGTGGTGGAAAAGGGAGATGGTAATGGTGTTGTGTGGAGAAGAAAGCGGAGGAAGGACAGCCAGTTGAACGGCTAAAATAATCAATCGCAACAAAGCAACCAAGACACGCTTCTTTCCAGAAGCTCGGCACTCGGAACTTAACAAAGCATTCAGTGCCGGTGATTTTCTTGACAGATCGGTGTGTGTGGCTGGAAAAAGCCTAACAGCGAGGAGGTCATTTCCGAGGGCAATCCTCACAAGCGATGCTTAACAGAGCCAATCAAGCCAAGCTGGTGAATTTGGAATGCAAACTGTGACGAGTAGCGAATACAAGAGGATTGTATTCAACGAGGCACGTTGGGTCGAAAGGCTTGAGATGCATTCTAATGGGCACTTGAAAGTCCAAAATAGAGTCGCTTGCTGAGCTTTGTTTTTTCCGACCGACATTTTGTATTCAATTCTCCTCGAAAGCAAAGGCAGAGAAGCTGTCGTAAACGCGTCTGACAGTGCGAGAGTGTGGGCTAAGCAAGGTGCGTCCAAAGCCGGGACTCGCTCTTTGTGCCACAGTCAACCGTAGCGGCTCACAGTGTCTCCGCTGCTCCATCTCGCATTCGTGCCCATTCCCCCCTTCCCCCCTTCCCCCCTTCCCCCCTTTTCGCCCTCTCGACCAGCGATGAAATGGCAACAAGGTCGATGTACAAACATAGTCAACTAGCTTCCATAATGAGGCGTTGCTGCTGTGTGCTGCTGCTTTCTGTGCTCCACTCTGTGCTCCGCTCTGAAAATAATGCGCTCTGCAACGGCATTATTTTCATTTCTAAAGCTTGGCCAGACCCACTTTGCTTGGCTCAGGCAAGCGACACTTTGCACACTCTCTTGCTCGTCCTCGTCCCATCTTTGAACACAATCTTGCTCGCTCATCCATTCCTTCCAACTCACATCAAATCACACGGCCATCCCCATCCCCATCCCCATCCCCATCCCCATCCCCATCCATCTCACCGACTTCTTTCTGCCCTCGGAAACGCAAGTCGTTTTTCACCTGTACAAACCTCGCTCCATCGACACTCGTGCGACTATCTCGGGACGATCCATCATATCTTCGATACCACATCTGCATTACAATCTTCATCAAGCTGCCACCAACTTCATACACCCGTAGCATCCATCGTTGGCTGCTCTACTGTAAAGTACTGCATCGGTGCCTCCTTCATCGTCAAGACAGTCTGCAAGAGTGCCCCCCCCCCCCCCCCCCACCTCCACTTGGTCCACCTCCCCTTTAGAGATAGGGTCATTTCCTTGTCGCCTTTTCTTCCCGCAAACACATCGCGCACTTTCCACCGCCTCGTTCGCTTCCGCACCCTATCCGCTTCTGCCATCTCGCCTGCGGTGCTCTCCTCACCGCCTCAATGGCCACCATCGTACCACGCGCCAAGAAGCAGAGGACAATACCTGACCAGCTTATCGGCCTCGCTCCTTTGTCCTTACAAGGCGCCGATCCACTACCATCACCAACCCATCATCACGCTATGCTAGCACATCAACAACATCCTATACCCCCATCGTCCCATCAACAGCAATATCCCTACACCACCAGTAACGCCGCCTCCACTTCCACCCACAACAACATGTCGGCTGCAAGTGGCAGTCGGCCCATCAAACCCGCATCAGGCTTTCAAAAGGTCAATGAACTCATTGGCGGAAAGGTAGGTCCGCAGTTGGCTCCAATCTCTTTCCGCTTCTTGCCTTGCTTCAGATCACTCACCTCGCTACACTCTTTGTCTCTTTCCCTTGGCCGCACTGCAGATCCAGGAAGTCTTTGTCATCGACGACGATACACCACCGCCATCCAATCCGCTCAGCGTACAAGCCGCTCGTGATCCGCATCTCCTCAATAACTATGCACACGCCGCCAATGGTCACCGTGCTGCTCCCGCACCCTACACCTCCACACTCCACGGCTACGCTGCCGATCCACGATACGATGCCACTGCACAACTGGCCAAGGGTAAACGGAAAGCACAAGATGGCCGCGCTACGAATGCGCATCCAGGTCCTTCCGCTTCCCATCTCGACATGTTGCCTCATGATGCCGACCTCATAGCTCCAGCACCGCATGCCGGCCTTGACGGAATCCCAGCCCAAGTTCCCGTCCAGAAGCGACGAAAACGCAGCCACCCTGTCAAGCCGGACGATAACCTTGTGGCGGGAGGTGCAGGAGCATATGATCCAAACGATCCCGCCACAGCAGCACATCTTGCCGCATCAGGTGCAGCAGGTCTGCTATCTGCAAAACGGCCTGCACCTGAAATGGCACAGCCGAGGGTGGCGCCCAACTATCGAGGTGGCTATCCAGCAGGCACAGGTGCACTCGACTATGTTGCACGCTACGATCCAGCTGCTGCCTTTGCACAAGCGCATCACGGCTACGAAGGCACCGCCAGCACACGAGACTCTTACGCCAGCTCAGCATCCTACGTTGCAGCAGCAGCCGCCAACAATGGTCCTGTCGATGACGATCAAGGCCATTTCATTGTCAACCAGGGTGACTACGTCACGAGTCGATACAAGATCTTGCGGCTCTTGGGTCAAGGAACATTCGGCAAAGTCGTGGAATGCTACGACAAGAAGCTACGCAAGTATGTGGCGATCAAGATCATTCGAGCGGTGCAAAAGTATCGCGATGCGAGTCAGATCGAGATTCGAGTCCTGCGGACACTGCGCGAGAACGATCCAGGCAACGAGAACAAGTGTATTCACTTGTTGGAGACGTTCAACTTCAAGAACCACGTCTGCATCGTTTCCGAGCTGTTGGGCAAGAGCGTATTCGACTTTTTAAAGGAGAACAAGTTTCAGCCTTTCCCGCCATTGCATATCTGGAAATTTGCCAAACAGCTTATGCAGAGTGTTGCTTTCTTGCATCGACTCAACTTGGTTCACACGGATCTTAAACCGGAAAACATCTTGCTTGTCAGTAGCGAGCATTCCATCGTGGCGACATCAAGGAGGCAGAATGCCAAACGCAAACATGTTTTGCACAATACCGAGATTCGACTGATCGACTTTGGATCGGCGACGTTCAACGACGAGTTTCATTCTTCCGTCGTTTCCACTAGACACTATCGTGCGCCGGAGATCATCTTGTCCATGGGTTGGTCCTTCCCGTGCGACGTATGGTCCATTGGATGCATCCTAGTCGAGTTCTTCACCGGCGATGCCCTCTTTCAGACCCACGACAATCTCGAACATCTCGCAATGATGGAAGCGGTACTCGGTAAAATGCCGGATGACTATAGGAGAAAAGCGGAAACGTACAAACCCGAGTACTTCAAGCACGGTGCACTCAAGTATCCGGTCCCGGAAACTAGCAAGGATAGTAGGAAATATGTTAGGCAGATGAAAAAGTTGCAGGATCTCATCAATGGGCCGACAGCACAACAGGGGCAGTATGCGAAACATCACTCGAGGTTGCTCCATCTGCTGAGGCAGTTGTTGGAGTTCGATGCTAGCAAGAGGATCAAGGTTGCGGATGCGTTGAAGCATCCTTATTTTGAGCTGGAGGAGGCGGATTTCCCTCCCGTCTAAGGTGAATACAACAGATAGCCGAGTAGAGGCATCACAATGTACCTGGCCCCAGCAATGCATGGAGCAGTGGAAGCACACAGACACGCCTCGGTGGTAGCGATCTCACTTTTCCGCGCTGTAATCTCGGTCAATGTACTTGTATCTCATGATCAGAAAAGCATATCTCCCCTTTCCCTACCTCCTTATTCTATCCACGCCGATTTGGAACTGTGATCGATGGCTTGTGAACAAAGAGTTGGTCTGATGTGAGTATTGGTACGGGGTGCAAGTGAAGCTGTGCGGAAACCGAGATTTATGCATGTCTGGGTGCGTGCGTGTGCGTTGCCACAGCCGAATCTCAAAGTGTTGGTCTCTGAAAGGAGCCGAGTAAAGTTGGTTCCGCTTACTCTGTAGTTCTTGTTTCCGCATCCTTTCTTTGCTTTCACCACCACTTTGTCGTAACCGGGCTCTTCGTTTGGTTGGCAGTAAAGCACACGAGGAACACCCAACGCGACTCGTTATCTCCCGCACCCTTACCAAGGCTTTGTTCACAACGTCAACCATCACAAAACGACACTTTGCACAACTTTCGACGATTCAGCCTCCACTGCACTCTCACTCGACTCCCAACCCAACCTCGGTGACAGTTTACCTCGATAGCTAAGCCACCTCCTCGACCGCAGAGGAGAGGCAGGGTGGAAAGATGGATCCAGCATTCTCTCTAGCAGACGAACTAAACTTTCACGCTGGCAACTCCACCGATTTTGATGAATCAGAACTTCAGTTCCATGCGCACTCCACCCTCAACTCGACGCTCGGCGATGAGTTTGATCACCTGCACCACCAACAGAGCGAATACGAAGATCCCTCCACCACAACACAAGGAGTGGATGGGTTGAGTTTGGATGCTCAACTTGACTCCCTTCACCTCCACCCCGATCAAGCTTGTTTGAGTTCTGATCTTGCAACGGAGCTAGACCCTCACTCGATCGAAGCTTCTAGCTCAGGAACGCGTACATCAGCTTCTTCTAGACAGGTAGGATCGGAAATATCGCATCTAGCAACAACACAGACGCAGGAGGTGGCGGAGAGCATAGCTGCCACATCATCTTTTCTTTCTCGTCTTAGCGGAGCAGGAGGGGTGGGAGAAGATACAGCAAAGCTAGAGGAAGGTGCATCAAGGTACCTAACCCTTATCTCGCAATATACAGCAGAGAGGGAAACACAGGTGAGAGAGCTTAGAGAGTTGGATAGAAAAGTTTCCCGATTGCTCTCCTACCCCTCTTCTGGAATGTCGAGCAGCTTTAGTAACGACACTCTTCTTTCGCCGAGTACAAGTGGGATGGAACTGCCGGACTTGATAGAAGACGAAAGCTCTTCTTTACCTTCTTCTCCCACCTCTCCCATCTCACCAACCAAATCAAGAGGACATAGAGCAACAGCATCAGTAGAAAGCGATTCGACCATCACCGACCTAACCCCCCTAACCGTTTCCACCGATAAACCTTTGTTGGAAGGAGGCCTGTTTGCTCCACTATACACCTCAACAACCACCCTACTCACTTCCTTAACAACGCTGTACGAACACACGCAGATTACGAAAAGCAGCACTGCTGATGCAGCAAGAAAGCTTAAGACTCTAAAAGGCCTCATCAGTCAGTGGAAGATGGAACAAGAAAGTGTGGAGGCTAGTGAAGAATGGATTTCCCATCACAGCGAGAAAGGGTTAGGGGATGCAGGGGAGGGGAGAAGGGAGAGCGAGTGGGTGGAAAGAGAGGTGCAAGATGTAAAGAGGTTGATAGAAGGATTTGAAGGTCAGGCTTTAGGATTGTTGACCCCTGTTAGCATAGCCAGTTGATTCCGCCTTTTGCACACAGACACCGCAATTGCATTCACAATCAGAGCTTTTCTCATGCCGGCCACACACACAGAATGGAGCATCGAAGGCTGAGCATTCCAGATGAGAAGACTCGATCAAGCGAGGCGTAGGTTTACTTTTTGGAAAAGTAATACATTAAAACATCCAGCAATGCCTTATTCTCCCCTCCTTCTCCACCGTTCAACCCTAGTGCAGTGAAGATTCGATCATGACTACCCTCCACGCCTTCCTTTTTCAACTTGTCGTTGAGAGATTTAAGCATTGTAGTAGCAACCAGCCTCAAATCCGTGGACTGCGCTTTGAGGGCCGTTCTGGCTATCTCGCTAAGCCGAGGCAGGAAGTCCTCGAGTAGAAGCTCGGATGGTAGCCGCAATAAAATGGGTGTCAAACCACTCCTAAGCACTGCTGCAGTTACCGCTGTCGAGGTTGCGGTTGAGAGATAGGATGTGGAAGAAAATAGGAGTAGGTCGAACCCGAGTACAGGGTCGCATACAGTGGCCCAACTTTTAAGGATTGTTTCATGCCCTTGTATCGCCGCTTTTCTCGCAACTATTGCACTGCTTGACCCGCCACCACCAGCGGTGCTAGTGGAGGAAAGAGTAGAGATGCATTCCAGTGTGAGTTCAACCACTTCTCTTTCCTTCCCAGTTGCACCGAAGAGTGGGAATTGGTACTCGACCATTCGATGTAACACCACTTGTGCACTCATTTGCAACTCCGCTCCCACTACATTATCACCACCACCCTCAGTGGGCTTAAGATACTTCTTCAGCCCGTCCAAGAGAGCGCTGAACAGGCCGCCTTCGAGCCAAGCTTCGATGTCCGAGGTGAATCCTTCACCTTCTTTGTCCGATGTGCGATTTGCAGAGTTGCTCAGCGGACCAGGACGTAAGACCGTTTCATCTCCCTCCTCGCCCCGGTCTAAGTTAGGGGCGGTGGGAGAGACTTTGATCTCCGCACTTAGCCGCGCTAGTCGTCGGAAGACGCCAAGATCAGCGGTGGAGGAAGTGAGGGCGGTAATCCAGGACCAAACTTCCGCTTTTGCTCTTGCTGGTGAAGACGAGGCTGTATGTGTTGCTTCTAGTCTCTTTCCTCGATTGTCCAGCACACTGTGACCCGTTCCAGTCCGATTCGATAGATGCCTCGATTGAGGCTGTCGTGAAGGTGTAGACGCAAGCATACGACTCGAAGCAGATCTAGGAAACGGCTGCATCCCACCAGCGCTGGTGGGTGAAGGGGAATGCATCATCGACACGGGTCTCGGCAGCCCCGACCTCCGTACAGCATTAGACGGAGTGTTGGAGTTGTTGCTGGATCCACTTGACGTCGATACCGTTCTATCAGTCTTGGGCCGTTGCGGGGTTGCACTTTCGAGTGCTTTTAATGCATTTTGTCGCTCCACTAGCACCGATTGCGTCTTCGCGCTCCGAGTATTGACACCGGTGGAAGAAGGAATCTTGAAAGGGGAATTGAAGTTCATCCCCATCAGATCCACTGATGCATCTTCGGGTGCTGTTAGCTGCACTGTGTCATCCTCGCCGTTGGCCGATGAATGGAAACGCGGTTGCTGGGTGGCATCAGCAGTATCGTCGTCATCCTGAATACCGTCTAGGCTGAGGTCGTCCAGGTCAGCGTCGAGGGTCGAGCTGGGGGCACGGTGCGTCCGTTGTGGTGTGACTGATGACGCTTGATGACGTGCAGAAGATGCCGAACCAGAACCGTGGGAGGACAAGGAAGATGACGATACAGCACGATTCCGGGCAGAGACAATAGGGCGAGGGCTGAGTCCGGGCGATCGAGTTCGCAACGACGACGCTTCAAAGCTGGGTTGGGAGAGCTTGCTGTTGGTCCGAGCCTGCGGTGTGCTGTGCGCCGGCGGTGCGGGAGAAGGACTGGTGGGTAAGGGCAAAGCAACGGCTGTCTGGATGCGTTGATGCGCAGTCGGACTGACTAGCACCGACAGCTCAGTCGAGGACTTGAGATGGCTAGATTGCTGTGAACGATGTCTTGCTGGCATGAAGCCGGTGCTTTTCTTGTGTGCAGCGACGGGTGTGGCATATTCCTCTGGCGGTGCTCCGGGGTGGTGGTTGTGATGCTGGGAGTGTTGCTGCTGCCGCTGCTGTTCAGCCAACGCAACACGAGCAGCCTCCACTCTTGCTTCGTGCGAAGCTGCAGCTTCCTCAGCCCTCCTCCTATCTTGCTCCTGCTTCTCTTGGGCAGCTTTGAGAGCAGCTGCCTTCTTTGCCTGCATCAACGCCATCGACGCTCCACCAGGTCTTGCCCTTGCTGGTCCTACAGTCGCCTTCGGCCTGACCTCAGCGACAATCTCAGATTCTACATCGGGAGGCGCCATCGCAGCAACCTGCTTCTTGGTGGCTGGATCCAGCGAATTGAGGATCGTGTTGGCCTGGTCCGGCCAATAGCGATGGAAGATCCAAAATGCTTCCCTGCTCTTGGTCCTTGCTCCTGGGTTTGAATCGCCGACGCCTTTCCTCAAGCACTTGTCTAGCAGATCCAATCCACTATGCGACTCGACGGCATGCTTGCGGTGCGGTGCATGATGTGTCAACAGTGTGCAGAGGTGCTCTGCAGCTGCAGTACGTGTTGCAACGTTCTTATCCTGTGTGCCTTGCCAGATGAGTTGTAGAAACAGCGGCCGGAAGCTGACATTGACCATGATTGCTGCCGCAGCCTGCTGCGTCGCATTGGCGATAAGCTTCTTCGTGAACCCAGCCATGGCAGTGAGATTGATGAGAAAGCCTTCGACGCAGGGACCAAGGTCATCACCGAGCTCGATAGCTAGCTCTTGCGCCAGATGGACAGCGTGCATCGAAAGCGTTGTTCGCAGACTTGCGACACATTTCAAAATGCCCTCCTGAACAGTCTTGAGTTGACCTACGAAGAATGGCTCGCCAAACTGACGATGTGCGCCCGAAACGATGAGACCACGGATCCTGATCATGGACTGTTCTCGATTGAGCCAGTTGTGTTCGGATTCCCTGTTCTCGAAGAAAGGCATCATCGTTGCGAATGTCCGTTCGAGGTCGGAGCGGGCAGCGATATAGACTGGTCGAATGTTGTCTGCTGCTGCGGTGGCTGCTGCAGAAGCTGAAGCCGTTGGCGCCGCTGCTGGTGCATCGCGAACTGTACCTGTTGACGGTGCTGGTCTGGACGATGACGATGGTGTGTCGGCCTCGCCGTAGGAGGAGGCAGTGCGATTGCGAGAGGTAAGAACAGATGATGTGGGTGCTGGCGGGCTGAGTACAGATGCGGGAGTTACTGCTGCTGAGGGTACACCTAGAACTTCACGCAAGATCCCATCGGCAGTCTGCTTGCGAACCGCTTTCTTTTCGAGCTCCTTCTTGAGATCTGCTTTCGCTGCTGGCGCTGCGCTGCTGAAGAGAGCGACAAGTGTCGATCGTGCACCTTCTCTGACCGTTGCATCGGCATCTGAAAGCAAGTCCACCATGGTCGGGAGAAGCGGTCTGACAGGATACTTTTCGCAATTCTCTCGCAAGATTGGCATCAGCAAGACGGTCTGTTCTCTGATCCTGGCAAATTTGGCCGCCAGTCCCGCTTCACGCAGTGTTCTTTCGAAGATGCCGAGCGGTGTCTCTGTCTCCTTGCCTTTTCCGGTTGTCATGAGGTGACCCGAGCTAATAGCGTAGGCAGCACTTCCGATCTCGATCAGTGCTGTCCGTGCAGCCTCGCGGATGCGTTCCTTCTGATCGCCTAGCTTCTCGATGACGGGCAAGGTGACCGAGTTGACGAGCATGCGAACGTTGTGGTTAAGGATTGAGTGGGATTCGGATTCGTCGCCCGAGTAGATCATTGACGCATAGGTCGGGATGAAGGAGAGCGAGGCTGTGCTGAGTGCCTGGTTAGCATGCTTGAGAGCCACCTTGACGGCCGAGGTGACCGCATCTGCTTCGACGACATAGCCGGCTAATTCCAGTTGTGACTGCAGAGACTTCAACGCAGCGACGCGTTTGTCGACCTCGATGTTGGACTCTATGCGTTGTGCGAGCTCATAGATGGCGTCTGCATCGGCCATGGTTGCAGATAGGTGGAGATAAGTGGAGATAGGAAAAGGATCCGGTAGGCTGCAATGGTGTTGGAGAAGAAAGGGCCGACATCGGCAAAAAGGGCTTCAAAGTTGCTCCACGTTCTGCTTAAATGTTTCTTGCTGCCCAGTCGACGCTCTGGCTGTTCCTTTGCCAAGTGTTGGTCTGACGCTCTCCTTTGCTCCGCTTATCAACGCCAACTGCGACGCGTCGCGTCGCGTCTCGTCTCAGAAGCTCAAAGTTCTCTAATGTCGTTTTATACGGCGTAACACGCTCACGCTAATTTTTTTGCGCAGTCATGCCTCCACTTGTTCTGCATGCAACACCTTCTCGCGGCTGAGTTATCATTCTGACCGTTCTCGCCAAGCAATGCTTTCTTTTCAACAACGTCCGAGCGCACCATATACCCGCCCCCCCTTACTCGCGGATGCACCATCATGTCGAGGCGGCGCAGGGAGCAACAAAGCGTCAGCCCTCCCGCTGATCACGAAGAGGAGCTCATCGAGGATCACACACTAGACGACGAACTTGCGCGCGAACTCGAGGAGGAACGGCAGAAGATCCTTGCCGCCGCTGGCCATCAAAATGGAGCGCAAGCCGAAGCTGTCAATGAGCAGCAGGAATATCAAGGCGACGATGGGGAGATGGCTGACGAGCAGGATGCTGACGACGAAGACGATCTGGACGCCGAGATAGTTGAAGAGGAAGACAACTCAGAGGACGAATGGCAGCCGCCAGAACCTGCATCGCGACGCTCAGCTAGGCGGAGCAAACGCCGTCGGCATCAATCGAGCTCAGAAGACGGCGATGATGACGCCCTAGAAGAAGCTCAGTCAGACCAAGAACCCGCTTTAAAGAAGTCGAACAAGACAACAGCCAAGAAGCCAGCCAAAGCTAAGAAGGCGAATGGAGACACGACTGCGGACAAAACAAAGCGTCCTCGTCGGCAGACAGAAGGAGTAGAAGGAGATCAAGAGGAAGCCTACGACTCTTTCCACCAAGAAGCAGAGCGAGTTCAGGCAGAAGTAGAGGCTGCAGCTGCATGGGCAGACGTTCGTCGACGCAAGGAAGCTGGCCAAGCACCACCAAGCACAAATGGCACCACCTCAAAGCCAACGTCCCAACCAACAGCAGACAAGCCAGCCTCTGCACCCTCTCTCACAGCATGGCTCGGCAAAGGTCCCTCTGCCTCCTCATCCCTCTCTGAACTCGCAGCCTCCCTTCCGATGCCCACTACCTGCAAAGCAGCACAAATCGTCGACCGCAACTCCCTCTTCGTCGGCTATGTATACCCGCTCACCAACGCATCGTCTGCCTACATCTCTGCGCTTCTTTCCCATATCACCCGTGTCGTCCACCCAACAGTCCCTACAGACTTGCTGCCGCCACAATTCGCAAATGCACCAGCAAACAAGCGCGGTTCCTCGCACGATATGTATGCTTACCGCGTTTTCAAGCTCAAACGTGGTCGAACTGGACTCGCAGGTCCAGACGACTTCTCGTTGCAAGAAGACAAGGAAGATGATGGTGAGAGGTGGGGTGGAGATCGTGTATTAAAGGTAGCGAGGGATGAGGGAGCGTCGGATGTGTTGGTGATTGTGAGCAGGTGGTATGGTGGTGAGCTGCTGGGTCCGGTGCGGTTTGACCATATCGAGAATGCGGCAAGAGCAGCTTTACAGGAACATATGGGTAAGGAAGAAGTGGAGGAATTCAGGCAGAGGATACAGCATCTGGATCAGAAGATTGCAAGGATAAAAGCGAAAGCGCAGCGGACCGAGGAGGCAGCTGCGGATGTGCAGGTGGACAAGTATAGGGATCTGACAATGGAGCGGGCACAAAGGTTGTGGTTGGCGAGACAGAAGGCGCTTGCCGCGTTACAGAATCGCTGGACGAATCAGTCGATGCCACCTTCGCAGGTGGAAGTACAGCAAGCAGAGGACATGACGACGAATATACAGCCGTCTTCGAGCGAGAACGAAGCAGTCCTGCCGCAAGCGGAGTCTTCGCAAACAGCAGTGTCGACGACGGTTGCAGAGGCTCCTTTAAGCTCACAAGATGTGGCAGCGAAAGTGGATCTCGAGTCGACTGAGCAACCAGCAGCGGACGAGCCAATGCCTTCCAACGATGCTACACCAGATGCCAGCCCTTCAACCTCACAAGCAAATGTTCCCACGGTAAAGCCGGAACCACCACTTACTTCACTCGACGCGCCAATCCGGGTCAAGGACGAAGAGGACACCGTGTCGCTCCCACTTGCTACTGACCAAGCGCAGACTGAGTCTGTTGAAGAAGAGGAAGACGACAAGAGCAAAGTCAAATTAGAGCCAACAGAAGACGATGACGGGCCAGACTTGACTGGATGGGATGATCTTTCCTGACCGGAAAATTGTACTTTTACAACTCGGAATCACAATCACGCAGTTTTCATACAAACAGAGGCACACGCATTGTTTCCACAGGCCCACTAGCCGTGCTGGCTTCTGATGAGAAAGATGTTATTGCCAAATTCTACCCGATACAAGTTAAGACTACGAGAAGTAGAACTGGTCGTTCTTCTTCTTAGCCTGCACTTCCTGAATACCACCATGGAAGTGTTCGTGATCCAACACCGTCGCACCTTCCCTGAGTGCAATCATACCAGCCTCAACACAAACGGCTTTGAGCTGAGCACCGTTCATCTCATCTGTCGACCTGGCCAACTCTTCAAAGTTGACATTAGGTCCTACCGCCATCTTTCTCGAGTGAATTTCCATGATCCTCGCTCTAGCCTCTTCGTTAGGTAGGGGGAACTCAATCTTCCTATCCAATCGACCTGACCTCAACAGCGCAGGATCCAAAATGTCGATTCGGTTGGTAGCAGCAATAACCTTGATCCTCTCATCCGAAGAGAAACCGTCGAGCTGGTTGAGGAGCTCCAACATGGTTCGTTGCACTTCACGATCACCAGACTTGTCTGAGTCGAAACGCTTGGTTCCTATCGCGTCGAGTTCGTCGATGAAGATGATAGCAGGTGCCTTTTCCTTGGCCAACTCGAAGGCGTCTCGGACGAGTTTGGCTCCGTCACCGATGAACATCTGAACGAGGGATGGACCGGCAAGTTTGAGGTAGCAGGCGTTGGTTTGAGCTGCACAGGCACGTGCGAGCAGAGTTTTACCGGTACCGGGAGGACCGTACATGAGCGCACCCTTGGGTGGTCGGATACCGAGGTTCTTGAACTTTTGCTCTTGCTGCATGGGCAATACGATGGCTTCAACAAGCTCTTCGATCTGCTTGTCAAGACCACCAATGTCGGTGTATGTCTCGGTAGGACGCTCGTCGACTTCCATGGCCTTGACTCGCGAGTCGTATTCGGCTGGAAGCTTGTCGAGAACAAGGTAGCTGTCCTTGTTGACGCCGATCAAGTCACCTGGTCGGAGCTCTTCTGCGGGAACAAGACCAATGAGAGGCAGGAAGATGGTCTGTCGTGTACTTGTCTTGATAACAGCGCACTTGCCCTTCCTCCTTGCGTCCAAGTCGACATTGGCTCCCTCTTCCGAGTCCTCGTCGATATCTGGATCAATGTCGAGAATCTCAACAACGTTTCCTACGAGGTATGGCAGCATCTTATTCTGCTTGATCTTGTCCGAGTTGTCTTTGATCATGTCGCGTTTGGACGATTGCTCGTGCATGAGACGCATGTGTTCAGATCGCATGACTTTGACGTCATTTTCGAGTAGACGTGTGCGGGTCTGGATCTCGTCGATGGAAGCTTCGAGGATCTCAGCTGGCAGAGGCTCCTCTTCTGGCTCGGCAGGAGCCATCTTGGCATCGCCGTCAGCAGTGGTGGAGGAGGAGGAAGGACCGGCCTGTGATGTGTCGGCGGGCGGTTGACGATCCTCGCGGTTGCCGGCGTTAGGAGGTTGAGCGTCGGACATGATGTGTCGAATCTATGAATGGAGAAGGCGCCGATTGGAGTGTTTGTCAATCCGGATGATGAGCTTCGAACGCCAGTGTTGCCGTGTTCTGAGGCTGTGGTGACTGATCCACGAGCAAAACCGAGGGGTGGTGAGCGGAATGAGGCGTGAGGACGAGGTGGACTTTGTGATGATGTGTGTGTCTGGAAGCAAGACGTTGGCTTTGGTCGTTTGGCTGCGTGAGCTCAGTTCCATGGCTGAAGCGCTGTTCTCAAGGCTTCAAAGTGGAGTTTCCGATCACAAAGCTCGCGCGTCCTCTTCTCGCGCCGCATCATCATTTTCGCTCACCAAATTTGTGGTGTAATTACGATCTCACAGGTAGCGGCGAGGAAAAAATCAGGCTCCCTTCTGCACATCTCGATGAGCTTCAACAGAGCACAGATTGACGGACAGCTTGACTTGAAACCCACCTGAAACCAGATGGATGATATGCAAATGCGAAAGTCAACAATTACAGGATGTGCAGGAATGATCAAATGCTGGAAAGCCTACCGCTAAGCATCGGCAGTATACGACCGGTTCGCCTTGGCCACCACGCCATTCTCGACCAGCTTCATCCGCAATAGAAGTCGCTTTGTCTCCCTACACCTCTTGTCACCGAGCTCGAGGGCAGAATCGAACACCGCCCTGCGAGCATCCTTGATACGGTACTCGAGCGTTTGCGTGGTCGCATCAATTCTCGCATCTCCCACCTCTGCCGCCTTGCCTAGTAAGTTTTTGAACTCGCCACGCTCGATACACGCCGCCAGCTCGTTTGTCATCCTATCCTCCTCCCATCCAAATGCTGCTGCCATCCTGGTGATGCTGATTCGGTCGAAAGGTGTGAAGAAATGTCGCAGCGCTCGCCTGGTGAACGATGTGCGGAGGCTGTTCACGTGTGAAGCAAGATACGGGTCAAGAAGATGCCGCGCTTCGTGCTGATTCAGAATTTCGCCGACCTTCTTGAATTGTGCTGAGCTGAAGGCTTCCAACAGCTCACGTACGTAAGGCTCGTGCTCGAGGAAGCCCCTGAACTTGCTGTTCTCCATGACTTGTGTTTTAAGAGCACCTCGTTCCATCGTGGCCAAGCTGCATAGCGCAACGTAGATCGAAACGTCAGATTGAGTGATAATGTCTGCGAATGCAGGACTGTGTGCTGGGTCGATGCTAAGCAGAAGCTTTGCCGCTGCTTCGTATCGGCCTTGACCGATACATGCAATGGCATTGGCAGCACGGAGCTTGGCGCCTGTCTCGGCGACCAGCTTCTTGGCCGCAGTCTGAGATGCGCTCTCGCCGCTCGATCCAGCCTGCGTACTTGAAGACGTGGTCGGTGCTGGTTGTGCTGCTGAGCTTCCACCCGCTCGGAAAAGCGCTCCAATCGCATCTGCTCCCGGTGTCGATCCGCCCTTGGTTGGAGGAGCAATGTTCGATGTGCTGAGCGAACTCAACTTTCGGCCACCTGCACTGCCAGAAGGAACATACGATTCCAAGACGCCCTCTGCCTTGCTGACAAAAGTTTGCACGTTGGTCCAGTTCTCGATACGCAGCGAGACCTCGATGACATTCATGCACATCTCGATGACATGGTCTGTCGTCGAGCAGTAGTCTCGTGTCTTGGTATACGATTTGAGCGCCTCAGCGTAGTCCCCAGTGTCCCAGAAATGGTCGCCAAGGTCGCGATGCGCCATACGAATTGACTCCTTGATGAGGTTGTTCTGGTAGTTGCGCATTTCGAGCTCGAGCTTTTCGCGTTCGGCATTGTTGCGCTGTTGGGTTGACTGGATCCATTCCGAGTCAGCTTGAATGCGTTCGGATGCTAAGATGAGATTTCCCGTCCCAGGTTCGGTGTTGTGTACTGTGACCATCGCTTGGTAGGCAGATACATCACGGGTGGTTTCTCTGATGTGGTCGATTGCCACTTTGCTGCACGTCTTGCGGAGAGCAGGGCAGTGTGTCGCAATGTACATGAGGCGCTGAGATCGAGCTGGACCCGTATACGCAGCGCTGTGTGGCAGAGAAACCCAGGATCAGCCAGTTGTCAGCACTTGCGCTTCTTGTCTTTGTATGTTCCGGCATTGTGAGGTGAAGGTCGTTGACTTACACATAAGCTTCCCAGTCAAAGTTGTCGTCAGGACCTATGGTCACATTCGTGTATGAGCTCGGCGACGACGACGTCGAAGGGACGTTCGCCGCAGCGGAAGTGCTGGCCTCGTCCATGTTGGCGAGAGAGAGCGTTGGCTTGGATTTTGATGGAGGAACGGGTGGAAGAAGAGGTGTCGGAGAATGCGCCAAAGTTGGCATGTTGGCTTGATGCTCAGCTTTCCGCTCCTTCAGGTGGAGGCTCGAGCGCCAAAAAATGTGCAATGAAAGATCTGGTCATGTTGCAATCCACGATCTCACACCCCCTCGTATTTTCCACTCGGAAAGCTGGAACTTTTTCGGATTGCTGTTCTTCTCGTTGATATCGTTGGTTCTCTCACATGTTGGTCTAGACAACTCTTCACTAGCAACACTAGCTACCTTGCTCATACGATAGGCTCCGCATACAAGGCAGCATGTCCAAACACGACCGCCGAAGGGTCAATGGCCCACCTAGCTATGTTCCTATCTCCGAGGCATCTACCTCGACCGCCCCAAGCTCGGCTTCTCTAGCAAGCACATCGCAGCAACGACCCGACAACAGATCGTACGCAGAGCTCCGGCCCATCTTCTTGCAGACCAACTTGGTACCTTCAGCATCTGGAAGCTCCTATGTAGAGATTGGCGACCTTAAGCTCGCATGCTCCGTGTTTGGCCCCAGACAGGTCAAGGGTCGTCAGTACAGCGGCAAAGCAGAGCTCAATGTAGAGGTCAAGTTTGCGCCGTTCTCGAGTAGACGTCGTAGACAACCTGGAAGGGTAAGTAACATATTTCTATCGCGCAGACATCTCTATTCCATTCCATGCTCGCTGACGTCCTCTCAACTATGAAACTTGCCTTCGCCCAGACAACCGAGAGCGCACATCTCTCCAACCTACTCCATCAAGCGCTGCTGCCATCCCTTCGACTCGACCTCCTTCCCAAAGCATCACTTGATATCCATATCATGGTCCTCCAGACCGATGGGCTGGAAGAGTCTTGCATTGCAGCAGCCTGTATCGCTGCCACCACCGCACTCGCCTCAGCCGGCATCGAAATGTACGGTCTCGTCGTTGGAAGTGTCGCACTCATCCCATCTTCGCCTGAAAAGTTGGCGAAGGATAAGCGGGTATTGCTAGACCCAAGCTCGTCAGACTTGGGGTTGGTGACAGGGATGAAGACAGCAACGAGGGTACTCTTGTGTGGCATGCCAGCCCTGGCATCAGTGACTTGCTTGAATGTCTCGGCGGGGTCGAGTCAGCTCAGTTCGAAAGCGGGTCAAGACCGAGTGGGTCAAGGAAGCGTTCCAATAGGTGCAGGAATCGAGGTGGATACACTGGATGAAGCATTAGAAGCGATCAATGCAAGTCTGGTGGACATTCACAAGGTCGTTGCACAGGCTTTGGCTGATGACTTCGAGCGGAGGACGGCGTTGACTAGCACCCCCACGCAGTAGCCGTCACAAACGAAGCCAGCTCTCTTTTTGATATCCTTGTTGCTTGCACTGTAAACGTGCTCCGCCACACGAGTCATGCAACTCTAGTTCATTGGCAACACAAGAGAATCTGTATTCTGCGTACACAGTCTGTTGAGTTGGACAAATCTGAAATGCGATTGATAGGAGACTAATGCAGGAGACTGTGAGATGAGAGGAAATGCTGTGCATGATTGTGATCTAGAGGATAAGATAGTGTCCAGTTCGAGGAAAAGGTTGAGAAAGGAAAAGAAAGCTGCATACATGATGGACAGCACTACAATGCTTAGCCATCGCCACCCTGGTTGGCAAACTTCTTGGCCTCGCGCTTGGCCTTTCGAGCACGCACATTGGCCGCGTCTCCCTCAAGCTCGTCGGGAGGGGGTGTGAAGTTCATGTATGACTTGTACTTCTTAGGTGGCAAGGCGACTGCCCCACCCGCAGCGCGAATCTGTGGGCTTGAGTATGGAGATGGGGTAAAGTCATCCAAAACGTATCCGTTGTCCTCCTCGTCTGCTGCTCCCTTCGTGTTGGTATCGTAGCTGGGAGGAAGCTGTGCTGCATCTTCTGTCCAGTAAACGATGGGCTGAACGGGGTTAGCGTAACGAACACCGTGCTTCTTGCAATAGAACGAGAAGGCGGCAAAGAAGGCGTTCTTGCGGTAGAAGCGACGGCCCCAGTCCTGCCAGGTGTCTGCGTGTGTCATACCGATGGTGCATTCGAGCGAACGCATGTACTCGATCTTTTGCGGAACAATGGCAGTACTCGGCACAAAGAGACGCTCAGGTTCGGTCTGAAGCCAGTGGATCATATCCGCCTCAACAGCATCAAGCTTCTCGAGTGGTGTGTTGAAGTCAAACTGCGCTGTAATGGCCTCCCATTGGTAGCCTGATCGTCGCATGTTGACGATGCTCGTAGCAGACAGGATGACGTTGCTGATGTAGACATCCTGGTTGAGCGAGTCGGTGAAGAGACACGAGAGCAAGGACATGTGCTTGACGACAAGCACAGCTTCACCGATCTGAATTCGATCACCAGTGTCGAAAGGGTGGGTGACAAAGATGAAGATGATCGAGTCGAAGACGTTAGCAGCAGACTCCTTGAAGACGAAGGCGAAGGCGATGGCGAGCGAGTAGAAAGTGGTGAGCGTCTTGCCAATGTCGACATTGAAGATGGCAAGAGCTTCAAACATGATGATAACGAGGCAGACGACAATGAAGATAGCATCGAGCTGACCGACAGCGTGATTGACATCCTGCATGGATCTACTGAGGAAGCGACGCTCTTTGTACACCTGCATGACGGTGTTCTTGATCTCGGACTGTGAGATGTCACCGTTGCCGTCACGGTCAAAGACACTGAAAGCGTCTTTGGCGTCCTCGGCGTTGGTATAGGCGGGCTCGAAATCAGAAGGGATAAGGTAGCTGCGCTTGTGCGAACCTCGGAAGGCAACAAAGATGGATCGTGCAAGTCGCTTGGCTTCAGCGGGTGAGTTGACGTCAGTACCGATACCGAGGGCTTCGTTGCGAAGCAGGCCGAAAGGGTCGTTCATGGCGACACGAGCCAAGGTGCTAGCCTGAGCGGCAGTGACTCGAACCCTGCGCCCTCCACGAGCTGCAACCCGTGCGATGATGTTGGACTTGCCATTGCCTCGAGCAGGAGCTTGACCTTCTGCAGGCTTGCCGGTAGCAAGATCGATGGCACGGTCGTTGGTGCCTGCACAAGCAGCCTGATCGGAGGGACGCTTCTTGCTGTGTTTTTTGAGCCATGAGCTCTTGCTTGGTGGCGTGTTGACGCGCGAGTCTTTCTCGTCATCTTCAAGGGCAAAATCGGTCGGATGGACAGGGGTGGCAGCACCGCTTGCGCTCGGAGAGCCCCGAGCTGAACGAGGGAAACCGAAAGCGGAAGTGTTGTCTCGACCCTTGAGCTTCGGCTTGTGGTCGCGGAGCCAGTCAAAGACCTTGAGCGACTTGGTGACTTTTGCGATACGGTCGGCATAGGCGCTGCGATGGAAGGACATGGCAATGTGCTTGATGATGACCTTTTCGACACAGATGGTAAGGGTGAAGAAGAAGATGAACTGGATGACCTGGTAGATGCGGTACAGGTATCGAGCACGGCTGTTGCGTGGGTCGGATTGGCTGTAGAGGCCATAGATGGAGTTGAAGATGATGGCCCAGGAACCCCAACCGAGTGCAGCGTAACAGACGAGCTTGACGTAGGGCTTGATGGCGTTGAAGTACTCTGCGAGTGAAAGGACTCGTTGACTGGGACGACCCCAAACGAGCTGGATGAGACCGAGTACAGCTTTAGGAAAGAGCTCTACAAGGATATGGATCCACCATTCGACATGAAGGTTGAAAGCAGCCCAGATGAACCAAGCTTGGACGTTGTCTGCAACGAAGTCACGGTGGCCCTCGTCAGGACCGCGTTTGCGATAGACGTACTGGATGACAATGACGGGTATGAGCATGCAGCAAGATATGATGAGATTGCCGAGGAAAGTTGTAGCGAGAAAGTTGAGGATCTTCCAAAGACTCAAACGACCCATGCGAACTTGCTTTGCCTGCTCGTTCTCGAAGCGCGCGGCTTCATCGAGGTCCTCCTCATCGGACCAATTGAATTCACCATAGTCGCGGTCACCGCCGTCGGTAGATGAGACCTCGCTGTCTTGACGAAGGAGGGGTGGTCTGTAGGGAACGTTTCTGTCGTAGTTGAACGTGCCTGGTGTGCGATTGGTCTCGTGAGGTGGATAGTCGGACTTGGGACCAAGACCGGAAGGCTTGGGGAGATTGCGATCACGAAAGTCGGCGAGAGGATCTGTGATGGCAACACGTGGACCAGCGATGCCAGGTCGAGAGCTGTTGTTCGAGGAGTCTGCAAGGATGCTGTGGTCGTGGAGTCCTGATTGACGTGATCTTGACTCGGGCGGGTAAGCATGATCTGTGCTGTGCTGTCGCGACATGTTGGTGTCGCCGGATGCGATAGCAGCTAGGGCAACATCACGGAGAAGGTGATGTCCGTCGTGAGAATCCTGAGCAGCGAGGTTGGACTGGCTGGCATAGACGGGTGGGAGAGCCTCTTGTGCATTCTGTCGCTCGTAGGGTGGCGATGCGAGCCCACCAGGGAGACTGTCAGGCAGCGACACCTGAGAGCGCAGGGGCGGTGGAGTAGGCGCCATAGCGTCAGTGCTGATGATGTGCGCTAAGCAGGCAACCAAATCCGTCTCGCTACAAAAGAGCTAATCTGAATGCTCTGTGGGAAAGAGATGCCTGATAGACGAGTCCAACCTTCTGACCAGCAGGAAAGGCGAGCGTGGTGAGTCGAAGATAGATACTATGTTGCCGCGACTAGATCCTGATGTTGTTGTACCTGTGGACCGTCGCAAGCTCTGGAGAGCGATGTAGTTGGATGGGAAGATGGAGCTCAGAGAGATGCTTAGGATCTCCTATCGCGCTGGCAGAGGGGAAGTTTTAAGTCACTGAAGCGGCGGCAGCGCAATCAAGCACAGATGAGCTGCTCAGATTTGGCTGGTCCCTGAACTCACAAACTGGCACGAAAGCCTCAAGTCACACACATTTGTTCGGTCTAAGTTACTCGGCAACCACACAAAGAAGTGACGTCGCACAAGCGCACAAGCGCACACCAGCACCAACACAAGCACACCAACACAAGAAAGGGCTCTCTCTTTTCAGAATTTTAGGGTGACAGCAGCCTAGCGTTACACAAAAGCCAACCGGAATCACAAGAAAATTGGCCATCCCCTCTGGACTCAATCGCACGAAAGGTAACCAAAATTGTGTATATATAAAACACGAAACTAACAGGCAAAGAGCCGTGAGGTCCTCGAAGCTCAACAAGGAGGTCTCCCAGCCGGCCGTAAGAGGGGGCCGGTCGAGCGCAGGAACGAGCGGCAATGTACAGACAGGGAGGGAGAATAACAACGAACCAGGCTGCTAATAATACGCTTGGCTTTGGTGAAGATGATCGTAGTGAAGAGAGGAGCGGAGAGCGGAACAATTCGATAATGTAAAGTAAAGAAGATCGGTCCCGATAGTCGACGATCCGTGAGAGTCGGAGCACGATGTCACTGCTGTTTTAAGACAGAAACACATATACTCAATTGAATAGAATGAACATGGTGAGAGCCTAGTGTTTTCAGCTTGATATATATATATACAGTACATGTGTAAACTGTCCCAAGATTTTACATGTCACCATACATCACTCTAATGCTCAATAGCTATAAGTTGTATTGCCACACTGTCTGATATTGTCTGAAAGCCCTGCTTCTTCTCTCCAAGACTGTGGAAATGATATTGACATTGACTAAGAAAATTGTGCTATGAAGAAGAGCCAATTTTTTTTTTAAATTGTGGGACAGTTTATGGAGCATGCTCCCAAATAGCAACACCACTCCATTCCTAACCTTGTGGGTGTCAGGGGTCTCGCGCCTGAAACCCAGGTCGGTCTGTCGAGATACTCAGTGACTATCAAACTGTGTGACAGCTATTGTCTCGGTATCGGTCTCGACGAGCTAGTTGTTCGGCAACTATCAAGTTGCGCAGTGACAGCAGGTGGTGTTTGTTGTATATACTATCATAGGTTTCGGCTGACCTCTGCAGACACTCCATTCAGGGGTAGCTCGGCATGATCAATATCAATGCATAGGTTGCGATGACACCAAGGTCTGGTGTGAGTGTTGATGATGATGAAGTCGATGGTGTTGGTGATAAGGTTGGTGAATGTTGATGGTAATGAGGTTGATGGTGTTGGTGATGAGGTTGGTGGTGTCAACACAAGTGTCCAGTGTGTTGACTGATGCTTGAGGTGATCCCCGGACCACAATGGACTACTGCCTTCGGTTCTATCTTGATCCAGACTGCTAACCTGCTATGGATGCCTTCGGACATCAGGTAGTGGTGATACAACACACACACTATGATGAGGAGCAACCTTGATAGATTGCTGCTATGCTGACTGAAACTAATATATACTTATGCTGAAGTGATAACTAGTTATGATGGTTGTGTAGAGTGGATGAGGATCCACTTGACCTTTGATGATGAGAAAGCATGGTTATATACCTCTTCACAGCATCGCCAGTGATGCTGCTCCTGCTCTCTCTCCAGAGAGTACCTTCTTCATCGAGTACTGTTCAGGAGGCCTCTCCTGCTTGCTTGGCACCCCTATGCCTCTTGAGATGTGTGTTGACTCCTTCGACACTGCTCCTCCTCTTTGCTATCCTGCTTGTTTGGCACCCTTGTGCCTCCTGAGTGGTGTCGACTCCTTCAACACTGTGTCAGGGGTCTCGCGCCTGAAACCCAGGTCGGTCTGTCGAGATACTCGGTGACTATCAAACTGTGCGACAGCTATTGTCTCGGTATCGGTGACTATCAAGTTGTGCAGTGACAGCAGGTGGTGTTCGTGGTATATACTATCGTAGGTTTCGGCTGACCTCTGTGGACACTCCGTTCAGGGGTAGCTCGGCATGATCAATATCAATGCTATGATGACACCAAGGTCTGGTGTGAGTGTTGATGATGATGAGGTTGATGACGTTGGTGATAAGGTTGGTGGGTGTTGATGATAATGAGGTTGATGGTGTTGGTGATAAGGTTGGTGGCATCAACATGAGTGTCCAGTGTGTCAACTTGATGCTTGAAGTGATCCCCAGACCGCAGTGGACTACTGCCTTCGGTTCTATCTTGATCCGGACTGCTAACCTGCTATGGGCGCCTTCGGACGTCAGGTAGTGGTGATACAACACACACACTATGATGAGGAGCAACCTTGATAGATTGCTGCTATGCTGACTGAAACTAATGTATACTTATGCTGAAGTGATAACTAGTTATATGGTGAGTAGAGTGGATGAGGATCCACTCAACCTATGATGATGAGAAAGCATGGTTATATACCTCTTCACAGCATCACCAGTGATGCTGCTCCTGCTCTCTCTCCAGAGAGTACCTTCTTCATCGAGTACTGCTCAGGGGCCTCTCCTGCTTGGCACCCCTGTGCCTCTTGAGTGGTGTCGACTCCTTTGACACTGCTCCTCCTCCTCATGACCTGGTGTCGACTCCTTCGACACTGCTCCTCCTCCTCAGGACCTGCCTGCTAGTGTCCTATACACTGCTCCTTCTCTTTTGACCGGTGACAGTTCCTTTGACTCTTGTCTCTCGAGCCCCTGAGTGGTAACCATCTGAGCTTGGTCCTCTTCGTGGCTGTGCCTGCTCCTTGAGCTTGGTCCTCCTCACGGCTGTGCCTGGCCCTCCTCACATGTGGCTCGTGTCCTCCTTTGCATGTGAGTCCATAGGAGTCCACAGTCTCCATGGAGACTGCACTACGACCATGCTCTCTACTGATTTCGACTAGATCTTCGATACCTGTGCTCCTTCCATATGAACCCATGACCCTCCTGCTTCTTGAGCATCCAGGCCCATGACACTACCCCCCTCTTAAGAGCCGAGCTCCGTCGAGGCATGCTCTGGTCTGGTTCATGCTGACTCCTCCTCCTCCTCCTTGACAACATTGCCAACATCATCCTTCCTCCTTCTCTCAACGTCATCCTCCTTCCTCTTCCTCTCTCTACTCCTCCTGTTCTCTCCTCCTTTCTCTACTTTGTCTACCCACTCGTCCCCCCTCCGACACCTCATACTCCTGGATGAGGTCAGGACAGTTGAGGTTCTCTACTGGTTCCCATGAAGCAGCTTCTTCTGAGTACCCTCTCCACAACACCTTGTACTCTGTAGTCCCATTGTGTGAACGCTTGTCGATGAGTGCTTCGACTTCGAAGTCGAGGTCCTCATCTGGAAGTGATGGTATGGTGGGCTGTTCAGCACATTGAGGAAGAGAACTTGTTCTTGCTGGCTCAAGCATGGAGACATGGAACACATCATGCACCTTAAGGTTTGCTGGCAATGTGATTCGATAAGCTCGGCGTCCTACCCGTTCCTGAACTGGGTAGGGTCCTGCAAACCGGGTATCTAACTTGGGTGTGGGTCTCCATGTCTTCCAGTTTCGATGGTTGATATAGACCATATCACCCACCTTAAACTCGATGTCCTTGTGCTTCCTGTTATACTGGTCTACTGATCTATGTTGTGCCTCTCTGATCTGCTCCTGGAGGTACTTGCAATGCTCCTTTCCATCCATGAGGTACTCGAAGCGACCTGGATCATTGACTCCTAGTCATTGAGGGATGTCAGGATGAGCTTTGGGGTTCCATCCATAGCATGCAAAGAATGGTGAGACACCAATGCTGTTGTGGACCGTGTTGTTGTATACAAAGGCTGCAGTGTCCAGCAGGTTGGCCCAGTCATCCTGCTCATAGTTGCAGTACATCCTGAGGTATTGCTCTATGACCTGATTGACTCTCTCTGTCTGACCATCAGTTTGAGGATGGTAAGCCATGCTAAGTGAGTGCTTCACACCCATTTGCTCTGCAAATGCCTTCCATGCTCCTGATATGAACTGCCTGCCTCGGTCCGAGACCATGTGATCTGGGTATCCAAAAAGTCTAACCATGTGTCCATATAGCAACACTGCAGTCTGTTTGGCTGTGACTGTCTTATGGGTTGGAGCTAGTATGGCAAACTTGGTTAACCTGTCAACAATGACTAAGATAGAGTCATAGGTCTTGGAGTCATACTTCTTTGATGGTGGTAGTCCTTCGATGAAGTCAAGGGATATGGAGCCCCAGGGCCTGTCTGGTGTTGCTAGTGGCTGTAGCAAACCATATGGACAGTGATGAGGAGCTTTGTACCTAGCACATACAGGACAACTTGCTACATAGTCTGCAATCCAAGCTGTCATGTTTGGCCACCAGTAATGTCGTTGAGCTGCCTTGATGGTAGCATCTCTTCCTACGTGTCCAGCAGTAATACCATCATGGCATTGGGTCATCACCATGAATTGCAGATGCTCTACAGAGAGAGACTGTCCATCTACCTCTTTGGCACTCCTTGAGTGTTGGTTGTTGGTCCTCCCTGGCATGATCACTTTGGGGATAACCAACCTTCCTCCACTGTACCATAGGTCATCCTTGACCTCGAAGGGCTTCTTCCTATGTATCTCCTGTAGCTCTTGGTCTAAGGGCTGGAAGATCTTGACCAGGTCTCTGAGACCTTTTGATGCTATGGACTCCATCGAGAGCATAGGGGCCACTAGGGTTGAGTCATGGTCTGCTGTCTCCCTGAACACTCGAGGAGGCAGTAGTTGCCTCACATTGTGATCCTGCTCTTCACCAGCTGGTTGCATGTCTGTCCTTCTGGTGAGAGCATTGGGTTCACCACCTTTGTCTCCTGGTTGATACTGCAATATGAAGTCGAAGTCTGCTAGTAGTATGGCCCATCGAGCCTGTCGACCTGTGATGCATCTCTGTGACTTGAAGTACTTGAGGGCTTCATGGTCAGTGAGGATGACCAGTTGGTTTGGTAGTCCAGCTAGCATGTGTCACCACTGAGTAAGGCAGGCGACCACAGCTAGGAGCTCCTTGTCATGGATTTCATAGTTCTTCTCGGCAGAAGACATCTTCCTAGAGTAGAAAGCCACTGGATGCCATCATCCTTCATGCTCCTGCTTGAGTACTCCTGCTATAGCAAAGTCACTTGCATCAGTCTCCAACCTTGTTGGAAGGTGGTAGTCGAAGTGCTGAAGCACTCCTGCTGATGTGAATGCCTGGATGAGCTTGTGGAAGGCCTGTTGGGCCTCCTCTGGTAGCTCGAACTTCTTGAACCGTTCTATAGGCTTTACCAGTGCTGTCAAGGGCTTGGCTATGCGAGCAAAGTGGGCTATGAACCTTCGATAGAAGTTGGCAAAACCCAGGAACCTTTGGATGTCATGGATTGACTCTGGCATTGGCCACTCCTTGACAGTGTGCACCTTTTCTGGGTCCATCTCTATGCCCATCAGCTTGATGATGTACCCCAGGAACTCGACTGTCTTGGTGTGGAACTCATACTTCGACAGCTTAGCAAAGAGCCTGTTGCTCCTTAAGTGAGTGAGGACCTCGGTGACATGCTTCACATGTGCTTCTTCAGTGTCACTGAAGATCAGGAAGTCATCTAGGTATACTACCACATATATCCCAATGATGTCTTGGAAGATGTCATTGATGAATGACTGGAAGTGAGCCGGAGCATTGGCTAGGCCAAAGGGCATCACTAGGTACTCATAGAGTCCCAACTGAGTGCCAAAAGCTGTCTTCCATTCATCTCCTTTAGCAATCCAGATGAGGTTGTATGCTGCTCTAAGGTCTAGCTTGGTATAGATCCTTGCCTTCCTGAGTAAGAACAGCTGCTCCTCGATGAGGGGCAATGGTGCCCTGTTCTTGACAGTGATCTCGTTGAGACCTCTGTAGTCCACACAGAGTCTGAGACCTCCATCCTTCTTTGGTATGAAGAGCACTGGTGATTGTGCCGGGCTCTTCGATGGTCTTATGAACCCCTTCTCGAGGTTCTCATCCAAGTACCTCCTCAACTCGGACATCTCCTTGGGTCCCTTAAGGTATAGGGGCCCTTGAGGTGGCTTACCTCCTTCTATCAACTCGAGGTGGAGATCATGCTTGGTATGATGGGGCAGCTTGTCTGCTTCCACCTCATCAAACACATCTCGCAGGTGTTGGTATGGCTTTGGTATGTCTGCAGCCATCACCACCTTGTCTACCTCCACCTCCATCTCGACTCCTTTGTCTGCACCTGTAGGTACAAAACCAAAGGCTGGGAGTGATGATGGTGGCTCCTCCAACAGCATGAATCCTATGGGTCCATCTTCTAGAGCTGCTCGTAGTATGCGCTCTGCTGAGACAAACTCGTTACCATGAAGGGTTGGTCTCCTCATGGTTAGGTCCCCTGCTCTTGCTGCCTCAGGGGGTCTCCTTGGGGGTCGGTCCTGCTCCTGAGTCTTGAACTCCAGCTGGCCCGTATCCCATTGTATGGTGGGTTTGAGCCTCCATAGCTCAGTGAACCCCAGGATGAGGTCATAGTCCGCAGTGTCGGCCACTGAAGCTTCGACCACACCCAGATTGTGTGTACCAATAGATACCTGCATGCTTGCAGAACTATTGATGGAGAGTTGGTGCCCGGTGACACCATGGATCGATCTTGTTTTTATGGGTTTTGTGGGTATTTGGTACTTACTAATGAAAGAATCTGAGACTATGGACAAACCAGCACCGGTATCAGCTAGTATCCAAGCAGGATGGTCTTGAAACATTCCAGAGAGCTCCAGTACTGCTTTGCCTCCACTGGTAGAGAAACATACTTGACAATCTTGATATATACAGAGTGATGGCAAGGACGTTTGTAGAGCAATGCATGCCATCAGTGCATCACCCCACTGACATTTCCCTCGTCGTCATCATCATCATGCTCCTCCTCGTGATCGGGGTCCATGGGTTGCTGGTATGAGCTGAGGTCCATGGCCTTGGGGTCACCCATCTCAGTGCTGCCTGTGTGGCCATCTCCTGAGTCAGTGGCCTCCTCGAAGGGGTCTGCTGTGGTGACCATGACCTTTGGACCCATGGGTCGAGAGCTAAGAGGGTCTATCCTCCTGCTGGGGCAGTCTTGGGCCCAATGGCTGATACCCTTGCATACATGACAGGTGTTGGTACCTGATGGTGCAGGGCTTCCTTGTTTCAAAGTTTGGGTGGGTTGATGAGGAAGGGGTCGGTTAGTTGGTCAGTTTAGGTTTTGTGTAGTTGCTTGTGTAGTTGCTTGTGCTGATGATCGAGCTGGATAAGGTTGAGTGGATTGACATATGGGGATTGAACTTTGATTTGGCTGAGACCCAGTTCTTAGTGGAGGTGACGTGGCATTTGGGAGTGAGTGTCTAGCCAAGGACTGCTGTAGTAGCATCCTCTGTCGATCGATCTCTTCAACCTCTCGGTACCACTCCCATCTCTTCCCAGGTGGATTCCTCTCGAACTTCTCCTGTATGCTGCGAGTGAGACTTCCTCTGAAGAGAACAATCACTAGCTCATTGTCATCTAGGTTGACCTGTCCCTCCAAGTCTCTGAACCACTCTACATGATGTGTGGCGGCACCAGGGGCATCACTTGTGAGTCTGAGAGCCAACAGCTTGTTGTATGCCTCCATCCTAGCATTGTGTGGGTTGAACTGCTCTGACAGTTGCTCTGTGAAGTAGTGCCAGTCATTGAACAACCTTCCTTCTCTAGCTCTATCAATACGGAGCTTGGAGGTCCACCACTCTCATGCTGTCCCTTCCAGTTGAGCACCCATGTGATTGATCATCCTAGACTGCTCATACACCTGGTTGAACTTAAACCATGCTTCGGCTTCTAGAATGAAGATCTCCACATCTCGGGGATTGAACTTTGGAAAGGGGGTGGTGATGGGCTTTGACTGGTTAAGCTCTGCCATGATGCTAGAGTCCTCCTCTTGGTCAAGAGTGTAGTGTTCTGTCCTGCTCTTGTTGTATGGATCCACCCTGGACTTGACATATCTTGGCCCAGTGGGTGAGGCATACTTCTTGTAGTTGACATCATCCTGCTCATCCAGGTTGACGAATGAGACTGATTGTCTTGGTTGTGGAGCTGGAGTAGGAGTATGTGGGTCTCCTATCATAGACTCATCTCCTCCTCCTGCTTGGTCTTCTGAGTGAGAGAGGTCAATCATCTCCTCCCTGCTCAGATGAGCTCGTTGTAGTTGTTCCTCTCGATGACCCTGCCTAGTAAGCTCTAGCTGAGCTTCCAATAGAGTGAGTAGTCTATTGAGCTTATTGTTGAGGTCTGGGTCTGTCATGGTGATCGTGAGGAGCTGCTTGAATGATCCACTCTAATGTCAGGGGTCTCATGCCTGAAACCCAGGTCGGTCTGTTGAGATACTCGGTGACTACCAAACTGTGCGACAGCTATTGTCTTGGTATCAGTCTCGATGAGCTAGTTGTTCAGTGACTATCAAGTTGCACAGTGACAGCAGGTGGCGTTCGCTGTATATACTATCATAGGTTTTGGCTGACCTCTGTGGACACTCCGTTCAGGGGTAGCTTGGCATGATCAATAGCAATGCTTTGGTTATGATGACACCAAGGTCTGGTGTGAGTGTTGATGATGATGAGGTTGATGATGTTGGTGATAAGGTTGGTGAGTGTTGATGATAATGAGGTTGATGGTGTTGGTGATGAGGTTGGTGGCATCAACACAAGTGTCCAGTGTGTTGACTGATGCTTGAGGTGATCCCCGGACTGCAGTGGACTACTGCCTTCAGTTCTATCTATATCCGGACTGCTAACCTGCTATGGGGCGCCTACGGACGTCAGGTAGTGGTGATACAACACACACACTATGATGAGGAGCAACCTTGATAGATTGCTGCTATGCTGACTGTAACTAATGAGTACTTATGTTTCTAAAGTATTGACTAGTTGTATGGTGAGTAGAGTGGATGAGGATCCACTTGACCTATGATGATGAGAAAGCATGGTTATATACCTCTTCACAGCATTGCCAGTGATGCTGCTCCTGCTCTCTCTCCAGAGAGTACCTTCTTCATCGAGTACTGCTCAGGGGCCTCTCCTGCTTGGCACCCCTGTGCCTCTTGAGTGGTGTCAACTCCTTCGACACTGCTCCTCCTCCTCATGACCTGGTGTCGACTCCTTCGACACTGCTCCTCTTCCTCAGGACCTGGTGTCGACTCCTTCGACACTGCTCCTCCTCCTCAGGACCTGCTTGCCGGTTCCCTATACACTGCTCCTTCTCCTTTGACTGGTGACAGTTCCTTTGACTCTTGTCTCTCGAGCCCCTGAGTGGTAACTGTCTGCATGCTCCTTGAGCTTGGTCCTCTTCGTGGCTGTGCCTGGCCCTCCTTGCATATGGGCCCAGTCCTCCTTTGCATGTGAGTCTGTAGGAGTCCATGGTCTCCATGGAGACTGCACTACGACCATGCTCTCCAATGGTATCAACTAGATCTTCGATACTTGTGCTCCTTCCATATGAACCAGTGACCCTCCTGCTTCTTGAGCATTCAGGCCCATGACAGTGGGCTTTTGACTACAATATAACTTGCAATGTAACTTGGTGGGCACTGTAAGCGGTCGCGCGCCAGAGACTAGCTGGGGTTGATTGAGTAAGGACTACTCGATATGATTCGCCTAAACGTAACCAAGCGTCGTCGCCTAGTAAGTCTCGACTGACTGCCTTGAACACTCTGTTCAGAGGTTGTGCGGCACAGATGTTTTTTGTTGGTGAGTGCATGATACACCCTCCCCTACAGTACAAGTGTTCATAGTACTGTTGATATGCTCTTGGACGTCTTCTGGACCGCGATATGCCAATTGCCTACAGAGAATGTGAGTTACTGGACTGCTGGTGTAAAACACCACCTACAATAACCGACTGGACTGCTGGTGTCGAGCAACACTGCCTACAGCAAGGAACTGGACTGCTAGTGTGAGAACACCACCTACAGTAATGAACTGGACCGCTAGTGTAA